ACACGGGACACGGAACCATATATATATATGTGTGTGTGTGTGCGTACATATATGACTACTACAAATTGGGATACTGACTGGACAAAGTGGAATCTCGTCACCATCGGAACATCATTTTTTCGGTGGCAACCCCAACATCCCCAACCCATGATCATCCCCAGTTGCAGCTTCATTGGGATTGGGTTTACCATGGTTTACCACATTCATTCCAATCAGCAAGTGACTCATCACCCATATATGAGTGGAGTTCTTTCATCCCATACATAACTGGGGTGATAGCCATGGCTGTGGTTCGTCCTCCTCATCAAAGCCCAGCAGGAAGAACTTGTCCCTTCGCAAGGGGTTGGCCGGATGCCGCGGATAAATCCCATAAAGCTACAAATAAATAAATAGATAAATAAATAAATAAATAAGGGAATAAATGAATAAATGGTGGCGCCCACTAAGTTAACCCAATAAAATCATGTTGGGAGCCCCTAGTCTGCAAGATTGGCAGGTTCCATGTTGTAGCTTCTCCACTTGTGATCCTGAGGTTGCGATTTGCAGGAAGCAGGTCCAAAAGGGTCACTACACTGACCCACGGCAGGCCAAGAACTTGTGTATAAAACACTGTCCATCAGAATTATGCCCCATGTGTGCAACTCCCACGCCCAGCACCGGGCCGCATCTATCTATACCTATCTGCCTTTTGCATATCTACCTATCTACAAAGACAAATGCCGACTATTCTCAGCCCTCTTCACTGAGAATCTTGTGCCTGCACTCCGGGATTTCGAAGGCTGCATCAAATTCCTGGCCATCGGCTGACTCTGTATCTAGTCCAAGAACTGAGGTTGGAATATTGGACCAAGAAAATAAATTAGTCTGTCTGGCAGACGGGAAAGGGATTAGATTATATAATATAGATTGGTTTTTTTGGGGGCACGCGGTCACCGACTAGAATGAAATATTCGCATGCTCCCACATTCCCCATCCTCAAATCGACGCCTGTATCCCACCAGTCAGTTTGAACGATTGATGGTATTTCCATGCAACAGCACAAACAATCAAGTAATGGATCGCTTGTCTTTTTTCTCAGATTCACTATGTTCTACTGATCCTTCAAGGGAGTGTCATGCAATTCCGCTTTGTCACGTCCCTTGGCGTCCCGCTTTGGCCAGACTTTGACGCGTCTTCCAGAAAGTGCCAAGTTTCGGGCGCCCCAACCAGTTTGTCATCGTTTTGTCCATGCATTCCTTTCGAAAAGCGAAAGGTCCTGTTGGGGGCCCAGCATCATATCCCAGCCCGGATTATTCCCGTCCCTGCATTGCTGCATCCGGAAAGCCTAACCTCGGTGGTCACCAGGCCACTACCATCTTCGTCCAAGACTTCAAAGATCCTCCTGAGAGCAGATGGGGAACCCTGGATTTGTCGGACACCAATATCCAAGGCAACTGGACCAAGTAAGATTCGAAAGGGAGAAGTATGCAACCTGGGAACCAAAAGCCCAACGAAGAAAGCCCTGGGTGAAAGAAAACTCACAGCAATCTCATAGGATATCACAGGTATTCACAGATTTCGCAAAGGATTTCAAGGATTTCACCAAGGTTCTTGAGATCTTTCATGTTCCGCTTTTCTTCCTGGCGCATCTCAAAGAGTCGTTCAGCCTCGTTGTCATTCACGATTTGCTGTGCCTTGTCACCTCGCTGCCATCGCCCAGATTGATCTTGCAGCGACCGGACAATACTGAGAAAAGGAAAAAACAAACAGAGAGAGAGGGAGAAAAGAATGAAAATGTATATATAGCTTTCTGACTCTCTCTCTCTCTCTCCATCGCCATCTCGGAGAGTTCAACAGAAGCTGAAGGCGAGCAGGTGGCTAGCTGGCATAGCTTTGCTTTGGTCTGTTTTTTTTTGGCATTTTTTACGAGCACCCATGTACTTACTTGAAGTTAATTCACATCCCCCACTTTTGTTGGGTGCCATGATGCCATGATATGCCATGCAGGTCCACCCTTCATCTTGCGTCCATGCAGCAGATGACCGCGGTCACAAGGTTCAGAATGACATAGGCGGAGATCGCCTCGAGATTTGGCTTCTTACAAGGTGTGATATAACGGGGATATAATCAACCAGAAGTGGCCTGCGCTTCAAACTCTTTACAAAATTTGTCCGAATAAGATCCAAACAAAAACCACATTCTAGACAGAATGTTCCTGGGTTAGGATGTTTATCAACATCATTTTGTGGTTCCTTGGAATTGAGGCATACCCATCATCTCTGATAAGGAAAAATCGGCGTTCTGGCATATTGTCACCAGTTGGCCATGAAGAGGAAACAGTAGATCCAAATGTAGGGTTGCTGTTCTTGCAGTTCCTCAATGAAGTCCACCGCGTTGTCACCTGGGGCGCCCATGCCCTGGTAGCGGCAAACATGTGACGGTTGGTGACCCCTACTGAAGATGCCCAAAATGCTTAGGATCCCGAATCCTACCCAGGTGAGAATCTCTCCCAAATTGTGGCAATTATTGCCAAGAATTTCTGCAACAATACCTTGGATCCTGGTGCTGAAAACGCTGTGAATACAGAACATGCTGGCAAATGGGTTGAGAAAAACAAATGGACACGTACACTTGAAACCAGCAACTTGGGTTTTAGGTTTCACCGAAGCCACCACAAAATTCCCGATTTTCCCCTGCAACTGTCACCTTTTTGGGGGGATGAAGCACCTACTTATAACTGTAACAATGTCATCTTTCACCAAGCCCAGGTGCTAAAAATGAAGCGTGACATCGTCATACTTGCCTGCAAAACCACAAAATGTCAAACACATGGCAAACTAGCAAGACCTGGGATATGTATGTATGTAATGTAATGTGATATAATGTAATGCAATGCAATGCAATGTAATGGTATTGTATGGTATTGTATGGTATTGTATGGTATCGTATGGTATTGTATGGTATTGTATGGTATTGTATGGTATTGTATGGTATTGTATGGTACTGTATGGTATTGTATGCATGTTGCGTGTACGTACGTACGTAGGTAGGTAGGTAGGTAGGTAGGCAGGTACGTACGGTACGTATGCATGCATGCAATGTGGCTAAGCCAAGAATGAACTTATTGCTACTTGTAAAACCCTCAAATAGTCACATGTAACAATCCTGGCTCAAAGTGGTTTTGCCTCATTACTGTCGTTTTGGATGGGACTCATCACAGCAAAAATCGCGGGAGGCATAACGGTTTGCCCAATGTGACCCGTAAAATCCCATTCATCATCATTTTGTTCCACAAAAATTGCTGAAGTTGCGTGGTAAATCCCCCACCCATAAAAAACCCACAATAAGTAGTTGTAACACTGTATGACCCTCTAGAAACATCTATGAAAAGCTCATAAGTTGGCGCCAACGATTATATTATATCCATCATAGACTTTATATAGACCCTATAAACTCATATATCTCATATACAAACCACATATAAATTGTATAATTAAAGCTTAATGCCCGGTTAGATCACCTGGACATTCCCTAGGGCCTGAATCAAACCATTCTGGAAGTACCAGGCAGCTGTGCCCGAAGCAGCGAGTCCCCAAGCTTCATCGCGTCCTAAAAATGGCAGCTGGGGGTAGAAAAATGTCTGTGTAATCATCATTATTAATCATTAATCACTAGGGGACACCATCTGATTAATAATGATTACTGGTGTAATCATGTGTGATTAGAGGTACTATCAAATGGGGAAGCATGGTGATTGCCCGCTAATTGGGAGAATTGGGGTTATCTGATGAAATTGGTGTGAATCAAGAAGTATCTTTCTAGCTCCCATCGTAGGGGTTCCTGCCGAATTCCCTTCAATCAATTCTGATCTGCCGGTCATGCAATCCGATTCTGGGCACCTGAGTTTATAACCCAGTTCTAAATTGGATGTTTTGGTTTACTAGTGTCCACTTATAAAATCTATTCGGGCTAATGCCAGTTTCTCACACACGAGTCCGTTCAGAGTTTTAACGCGTGATGTGACTGTATAACCGAAGACTTCAGACAGCCACTGGTAGAACCAGATCATGTTTCAAAAAAAACAGAACACGTAGACATACAATCTGTCAACCGGGGCACGCGACATGCAATCTTTCAACGGAAGAAAACCCAAAGCTATTTTTGTGAATTGTCTGAATTATGACTAATTCGTGTCACCCTGGAAAAATCATGTCCATCCTCCAACACATCAGAATTCGTGGTTGTGGGTCAAAACACTGGCGCGCTGCGTTTCACATCATGACAGCTAGGCTTTGGTGGATGTTCATCCCGGAATAACTGGACCAAAGTTTCAAGCTAGGACTTGTATAAATCTGTACTTTTCATGCATTTCAAGTATACGCTTAAGATATTATATTTTTTTTCAAACACTGATCCAGGTAATATGGTATCATTGGTTTTGAGACATCCTCATCTTTACGGACCCCCACTCTCCCATACTCTTCCCACCCCAGGCGGTCCTATGATGTCTACTGAAATGATACCAAAGGTCATAACGGTCAAGAACATCATCAAACAACAAGCCTTGAAGTGCCAAGATCAGGCCAGAAAAAATACATATGGACCTTCCCATCCAGGACCATCCCCCATTCCTTTGAATGAAAATGTCATGTTAATCGCATTTGAAAAGAGCAGCCCCACACCATCTTGACTTGGACTTCATTTCGAGGTCCAACTCATGCCAACCACAGTTGGTACTTGCTACCTGAGGCAACTTGTGGTACTTCCAAGTGACCAAAAGGGTGGGGATTGTTCCAAGAACGCCAGTCAAGAGCATGCGAAAGCTCCTCAGGTCTCTGCGAACTCCCTCTAAGGTTCAGGTAGTTCAGTTCTTCATGTCCCGAGCCCAACAGGATCCGTAGATGTTGCTTCAAACCATGCTGGTGCAAAGTGTGGCTTCTAGGCTGTCTATTCTACCGCACTAGTAAAAAAAACCACCGCCTCTTGGTGACAACATTGGCTAAACTGGTGCTTCAACTGTTGCTTTTCACTATGGGACTCCAATTGCTATTGCTATCGCCAGGTCTCTGGAAATGTCGCAGCACCTTGAAACTGCGCAGGCTCCGCATGGCACGAATCGCGCGGATGGCCTGCGCCATCCGTGAAAAGCAGCTGATGCCCTGCTGAGATGATCCCCAAAGATGATACCCATCCTGCCAACCCCCACCCACAAAAAAAACTTACCCTCTGGTAAACTAACATAGCCATGGAAAATGGCCCATTTATAGATGGTTTACCTATTAAAAATGGTGATTTTCCATGGCTATGTTAAATAACCAGATGGTACAATTTCAGAGATCATCCCACTTTGTTGTGCAGTTCTTCCATGTTGTTCCACGTCCTTCGACCCCAGCCCTCTCTGCCTGCAATGCTGCCAACCCCTCTTGGTTCAGCAGCACTGGTGCGACCCAAAGCAGGAAAACACCCACGACCTGCGCAATGCCAGGCTGGAGAATTCCAACTAGTTAGCCACTGGAAAAATGGCTGGAAAGATGCTGACGACATAAGGGGATAGGCTACAACTGCCAGGCATCCAGCTTCGCAGGCGAATTCTACTGGCGCTTGCGGGTACATCTTGTTTGTTTTGATCTTTGCACCACCCCGATGGCAGGATCTCAAGAATGAAACAGTTGGGATCCACATACATGTCTAACTAAGTGCAGCCGGTCTCCTTCTTGAAGCTACACCTTTCCACTTTCTGGAACTGGCGCAGTGCCTCCACCCAAAACTATGGTGAAAAATGCATAAAAATGCATAAAAATGCGACATCAAGATCATCAAGCGACCCACACTATGAAAGTATCCAGCATATTGGCCATGACCGTCTCTGGCGTCGTAAAGTACGACCCGCCATGTGCGGTGACACACAAAAGCCACTCCTCGGCGAGGCGGCCAAACATCGCGCAGGCGCAGAGAAACACGAACTGGACATATGTATTGCTTATCATACATAGATACCATTAGATACCCGTGTTCCAAATATAACTCCATGAAATAACTCGAAAAAATATATGTGATTCGATATGTCATATAGATACATGCATCCAGTCATCCATGATGTCTGCGTCTACATTTCAACTGTCAAGTCGTTCTCCTTATTTGGCCATGAATACGAGGAGATAAAAATAGATAAAATGTCCAGTGGATCAGGTTCAAAACTATTGGACTTCCAAAAGGGATGTTGATACAAAGAAAATGTACCCTCTGGTAAACTAACATAGCTATTGAAAATGGCAATTTATAGTGAGTTTTCCCATTAAAAATGGTGATTTTCCATAGTTATGCTGGTTTCCCAGAGGGTACAGTACCCCAGCATTGACCATGCCCGATCCTTGTCCCCGAAAAAAATCGAGCCAAATCCCAAGTCCCGGCCCACCACTGCCCAGTTGCCAGCAAAAAAGTGGCGGTAAAGAAGTTCTTAGTGTCACCAAGTGGGGATGACTGAACGGAAGATGGTGGAAAGATGGAAAGTAGCCACTTTCGAGTCAAATCAGTGGCGGATTTGACAGGAATACCGCTGAGACATGTTAACACTGATGGGTTTAGCAAAAAGTGTGGGGTCAGCAAGGGACTTTGCGGATTTGACGCGCAGAATGTAGAATGTATGGCAAACTACCACCATACTGCTACTGAGCTTCTGGAATGTCACTATTTACATTGAATGAAAATAAAATGAATGATGATGCCCTGGTCACTAGTTGAAATCAGTCACCAATTCTGACCAGCAATTCACCATGTGTGCCGCCGACCCTGGGGAGTCATGTGTTTGCCCAGATTTGGTTCTTCCCCAGCTAAAAGGTGTGAAATGGCTTCCAATGATTCAAGGACACTGAACCCTACTTCCAAGTCCCCATCTTTCCAAGTCCTCATCCTACTTTGCCAGGCGAGGTTTGAACCGATAACCCCAAACGCACCCTGGCTATCCAAGCCACATCAAAGGTGGATAGCATAGCAGTGGTGTAGGTGCCACAGCCGCCGTTGCCTCGGCTGTTTCGCACAGTCCCCCGAAGCTCCAAATTATCAGCCACAATGGGGCACCCAACATTGCACTTTACATTGCGAAAATGATGATGAAGCATGAGTTTTTGGGGTCGGGTACCTGACTTTCACGCCGAAGCTTGTAGCAAACATGCAGTATGCACCCATACAAAGTGCTAATTGTCCTTGTTGATATGAGCGTATCTCACTGCTACGCAGTCATGCAGGGACTTTGTGATATCAGTTGCTTGGGCGAACTCCGTGCTTAGAGACCTTGGAATCCAATGGTTTCAGACCATCATATCACAGCCACCGGAACCGCCGGCCAGGGGACAGTTGGCTTGAACACCTAGGAAAGCCAGGTTGGCGATAACCAAGAAGCAACTTGTGGCCCTCGGCTGCAGCTCGGATAGCAGCTGACCGGCACGCAAAGTCCATTGGTCCCCAGTTCTGGTAATGTTTTAAGCCCAGGATTGGATGGATAATGATTGCAAGCAGATGTTGCGATGGCAAAAATGGTCGATGGTAAAATCCAAGAAGTATTCCTGCAAATGTTCCTTCAGACTAATCCATTGATAAAAAGGATAGAATCAACCCGTTTACCAACCGAACCCAAGGTTGACCCACTTGCAGGGGCGGGACTGTCAAGAAACTCAAAGCCATTGCTGACCACCACGGTATGCAGCCTTGTGGGAGCACAAACGCGGTTTCCAAGTGGGGGCATCCATGAAAGTTATATTTATATACATATATACATACACACACAGATATATGTATATATACATCATACACACTCATATACATATGCATATACACATACACACGCATACATAAATCAAATGATATGTGTATATATATATATATATACCTCTCCCCGGCCAGTCCCAAAACCAACTCTAATCTCTCTCTCTCTCTCTCTCCACTGCCTTCTCGAAGAGTTCAGCTAAGCTAAAGACGAGTAAAAAAACAAACCGCTCCACCAGGGTAGATAGGAGTGTCAGCAATGTGTCAGCAGCCAAGGGTATCAACGATCTGCTTCATTCTCCAGTTTCTGGAGTCTCATTTTTTTTTGGAATGAAGTCCCCCAACGTCCATCCAAGTTCCAGCCCAACTCCCGAACCAGGGGACTTCTCTCTCCAGGTCTTTCGCGGTAGGTCCTGGGGAATCATGGAACTGGCAAGGTTGGAGTTCATTGGAGTGGGGCCCTAACTAGGTGAGGTTGGGTGAGTCTGTGGATGCTTCCGATGCTTCTGATGCTTCTGATACAATGGTGCCGAAATATTCCAGAAATCGATTCTTTGACACTTGATTGCTGGTCATTCATGATGTATCAAGACTCAAGACTGAAGGCAGGTCCATATGCACAGGGCATATAGGAAACCAAGAGTGTTTATTCCAAGAAAGCAGATGGCATGAAGCAAGTCTGCATCACCAAATGCTGATGGCACGGCGAGCAAATGGGATTTTGTGGCTTGTCAAAATGGCCTGGCCCATGCATCGCACCACAGTGCTGAGCAGCACCAGAAGATATATTGCAAAGCAACCGAGTATCAGAAGACACATTGAGAATCAATAAACAGCAAGAAGGCCTTTACCGTTACCTTTAATGCATGTGTGCGCATGCATGCCTATTTATTTATCTATATGATCTGAGATCTGATCTGAGATCTGATATGATCTGATCTGATCTGATCTACCTATCGATCATGTTCCTCTTCGATTATGGATGGTTTCGGGTTTTCTAACGCAGACTCCAGCGGTCCTGAGCCTCTGCCTGAGGAGCATTCTCCTCGTCATCGCTGTCAGGGATCTCTACGTCCACCTGGGCAAAGGACTGTGACTTCAGTAAGCCCCATGGTTTGGGTTTGATCATTATACAAGATAAACTTAATTCTATGGTTACATTAGTATTAACTTGTTGTGTCTATATTTGTGTATGTAAATATATATATATATATATGTATGCATGTATGTATGTAATGTATGTAATGTATGTAATGTATGTAATGTATGTAATGGTATGTAATGGTATGTAATGGTATGGTATGGTATGGTATTGTATGTATGTTATGTATGTTATGTATGTTATGTATGTTATGTATGTTATGTATGCTATGTATGTTATGTATGTTATGTATGTTATGTATGTCATGTATGTTATGTATGTTATGTATGTTATGTAGGTTATGTATGTTATGTACGTTATGTATGTTATGTATGTTATGTATGTTATGTATGTTATGTATGTTATGCATGTAATGTATGGTATGGTATGGTATGGTATTGTATGCATGTATGTATGTATGCATGTATGTATGTATTGTATGTAATGTAATGGTACGTAATGGTATGAAATGGTATGTAGTGGTATGTAATGGTATGTAATGGCATGTAATGGTATGTAATGGCATGTAATGGTTTGTAATGGCATGTAATGATTTGTAATGTAATGTAATGCAATGCAATGCAATGTAAATGTAAGTAATGTAATTGTAAGTAATGTAAATGTAAGTAATGTAAGTAATGTATGTAATGTATGTAATGTATGTAATGTATGTAATGTATGTAATGTATGTAATGTATGTAATGTAATGTCATGTCATGTCATGTAATGTATGTATGTATGTATGTACGTATGTAGGTATGTATGTACGTACGTACGTATGTATTATGTAGGTAGGTATGTAGGTGGGTAGGTAGGTATGTATGTATGCATGCATGTATGCATGTATGCATGTATGCATGTATGCATGTGTGCATATGGCAACTGTGTGTAACTCCGTGTGTAACTCTGTGCGTAACTCTGTGCGTAACTCTGTGCGTAACTCTGTGTGTAACTCTGTGTGTAACTCTGTGTGTAGCTCTGTGTGTAACTCTGTGTGTAACTCTGTGTGTAACTCTGCGTGTAACTCTGCGTAAAACTCTGTGTGCAACTCTGTGTGTAACTCTGTGTGTAACAGTGTGTGTAACTGTGTGTATAACTGTGCGTAACTGTGTGTGTGTGCAACTGTGTGTAACTGTGTGTGTGTGTGTTGCTGTTGGTGCCATTGTTGTTCATCATCATCATCATCATCATCATCATGATGCTGCTGCTGCTGCTGCTGCTGTTAGCCTTGCTCCTGCCATAGCCACCAACAGAGCCCGAAAGTATAGCCACTAGTCTTGTATAGGATCTAAGACCAAAAACGGAAGTGACAATCATGTTTGGAACCAATACAACCTCAAATGTTCAAGTCCTTCTTTGCCTCAAAGTGCCCAGCCCGAAAATCCCTACCCGCGCCAAAGGGCATTGTACGGTTGCGCCAGCCACTTGCCAAAGTCTGAGATCCTTGGAGCAATGATGGCCACTACCAAGGCTTCAACCCTGGCCGCAGCTTCGCAGTTCAGAATGCTGTGGTGATATGAAATGGTTAAAACAGTTGCTGTATAGAGCTGGATCTTCATCTCACCGTGACCCATCGGAATTCTAAGGCGAAACGTGCCTCCAATCCCAGCAATGAAGTGCTTCTGTCCAATCACCAAGGTTTGGTATATTTGGTGCAAATTTTCCGAAATTTCGTTTCGGGAGCAAGAGATCCTTAAATTTGATGATAAAAACCTGGGTTTCCTGCAGTGTTTCCCTTGAAAAAAATATTGAGAATCCATACGAGCCCACTCAAAAGTCATGACAATCAATAGAGGATCATCGAAAACCATTGAAAATTATACAATGTGGGTAAAACAAAAATAAACCACCCACTTGGGAATGGTTTACACCACCTATTGATGATGCAAATTCATTGTTCGTTGAAAAGTCCAAGGTCCAAGGTTCAGCTCTTTCAAAATGGCCAGGTGCCGTGGAAGCTTCGACTTCTTCGGCTCCACATCTTGCGTCCTTGGCCCATGGCAGGTTTTCTGGTGCCTATCCCAAACGAGAAACACGGGATTGAGGCAGGAAACCCAATGCCATAAACCTATCCTATATACACCTGCCATTTGGGGATGGTTTTTGTCTGTGCCCTCCATGCGGATGGTTTTTTTCCACCTGATTAATATGAATTTAATTCCTTGAGGGCTTGGAAATAGCCCTCGTTAACGATCAAGAGATGTGAGCGTTGTGCTCCAATCGTTACTCCAACGGACACCCACTTGGAGGATGTTTTGGAGCGCAATCGTCACTCAAAATCCTCATTTCGAGAGGTGGGAAAACCTTCAAATTTCTCCAGACTTGGTTCACGGAAACATTTGCAGTTGGTTCACACAAACATTTGCAGGAAACTTGCACATTTGGTGGCAAGAATTCATACGTTCCTACAAAATTGTCCCATCCATCCATTGATTTTCAGTGCTTTGGGTCTCCCTATCTGCTTCCTGACAGAAGTATCATCTCTACCAATCATTCGAGGTGATGTTCGAAAACCCTTCAATTCCCTCCGCAAAAAAATATATATATATATATATCCCAATCCCTCACAGCACAAAAGAACTGATACAAATTCCTTGGCACCACAGTAACACCCAATGGGTTTTTGTCCATCATTTTCCCCCCCATCAGAGTCATCAAAGTCATCAAAGCCAAAATTCATTGACAAAATTGTCCCTCCCCAAGCCATCCAAGCCATCCACAACCAGGGAATCTACCAGGAATCATTAAAAAATTGGGGGATTGTCCCAGGCCACGGCACTTGGACATCACCGTCTTCAGGCGATCCACCCGCTGGGTCTGCCGCTGGGTCCGGCGCACGGCCTCGGCATCGTCGGGCTGGATGGAGCCATCCATGGCACCTGCGCACGAGCCGGTGAAGCTGACCCAAACACTGGGGGATTGAACCAACAAAAAAAAAGAAAATCCGTTGATTTAACCAACGAAAATGAAATTTTACAGAATTTCCCTAAGGAAAATGAAGATTTTACAGGATTTCCATTTCCCGAACAAAAATGGAGATTTTACTATAACGCCGCCAAACAAACATGGAGATTTCCTGTCCACAAAATGGGATCGGTGTAGAAAGCCAGAAATCACATCCAGCTAATACAACATTGCATTGCACAGCTTACATCGGTAAAGTCCCTGGCCAGAATGGCAAAACTGAAGTAGATGCCAATAATCCAGTATCAGCCGCGAGCGATGAAGGAGGGGTCCTCCCCACCCTGCTTGCTGCCTTCCCAGTCCCACCTGCCAAGCAGGCGTAGCCTGGACAGCCTTTGTGTTAGCGACGCATGGCGAGAAACGAAGGCTTCGAAAACTCTAAGATCACCTCCATGTATGCCCTGGCGATTCTTTCTTTTTTCTTCGACGGACAAGGCTTGTCTCGGAGTCTCCGAGATAGTGAACTCGCATGTGCCAGCCTACTGTTCAGCTATGTTTGCGCTGTTTTGGGGGGCAAAAGGTGAGGGAATCAAGATAAGAGTGGCTGAAAACGTGGAAAACAATGAAAACACTTCGTCTAAACTTGATTGGCACTTCATTTGAGCCGAATGCGGCAAAGTTCTTCGAGTCACCTTCCGAAACGCCTTGAAATGGATTGCCATCCAAACTTGGAAGGTTCACTGGGGAGCAACAGCCAGATTTGGATGCCACGCGCTCATCTCAAAACTTGCTGGTGCCTGAAACCCATCCAAACGCTGGCTTCAAACCGTCCCTAGCACCACAAGGTGTGCGAGTGGCTCAGACTGCGAGTTTTTGTTTAATTTCAAAGCCATTTGAGCATGGTTGTGGTAGCAAAAAGGCTGGAGGTGGCAGCAAAAAGATACCAGGGGCCCACAACAGCCAATGCCATGAAAAGCCAGCAGCCTTCTTCGAAGGTTGCCGAGCTGCCACCCGGTCACGCCATCAATCCGAATTTGACATTAAAGGATTTTCCATCCCAAGCGGGGCCAGTGGGGTTGCATATGTTCCAAATACAGAATGTGTAACATGTATGCATGTATATATATATATATATACATATTCAATAATTAAATATGTATATATATATGATATATATATATACACACTAAATAATTAGATGTATATATACAGATATAGTTGCTAAATAATTAAATATACATATGGGTATATATATATATGTATATATATATATACAATTTGGATATAGATATATATATATATATATTTATATATTTATTTATTTATTTACTAATATATCTCTATATATATATATTGCATAATTAAATGTACTAAATTTGTATTTATATATATAATTCTATATATGTATACAGCTATAACACTATATATATATTAAACAGTTATATTTATATATATATATACACAATTATATAAACAGTTATATGTATATATATATACACAATTATATGCATCTACAATTATATGCATACACAAATATGTGCATATCTATATTTAAATAAATATATATATATATACAATTATACGTCTATATATATTTATATTTATATACAACTCTATATATATATATATGTATATACAACTACTAGGGAACGGCGCTGATAGGCGCCTGGTGGTTTTAAGGGCGTGTGCATGAATTTGCCATTGGAATTGCGAATGCAGCCTTGCGCGTCTGCTTCTTGACGTCCCAAAAACTACTTCAACCATTGAACAATTTGCTCATGGCTGCAAGTCTCTGAATTATTGCCGCGCAGCTTTGTTCTGCGCCACATCCATTGCCAGACCCTTTGCTCCAATTTTGAGGAGTGGGTCACCAAGTCACCAGTGCCTTTTTGGAAGCTTCCTTGGGGAGCCAACACTTCAATGATTTCCAATCTGAATCAATGGTCTGTGTTCCACTGATGTTCCATAATCCTTTGGGCACCTTATGAATTGTGGAAGCATATTCTTTATGCTGATGATTCACTTGAAAACAAGGAACTTTCAAAACCTTCGCAGCTTTGGACCATGCACGAGCACCATCAGCATAAATAGCAGTAGGCCTTTCGAAGTTGACAGCTGAAAGAAGCTTTGAATCTGGACCTCCTCCCATGATTCTTGGGGTGGACGGCTTTTGGGCAAGCAAACCTAGAATGTCGGTGTTGAAATAAACGAAAGGACAGCACATGTTGGAATATCTTCCGGTGGGCCTATTGTTTCAATACCTGCAACTTTATCTGAGCGTAACATCATGAGCGTAACATGAACATTAAAATCCCACCCCACCCCACCCCATGATAAACGTAACATCATGAGCGTAACATGAATGTTAACATCCCACCCGTAACATGAACGTTAACATCCCACCCCACTCCACCCCATGATCAACGTAACATCAGGAACGTAACATGAACATTAACCTCCCACCCCACCCCACCCCACCCCATGATCAACATAAAATCATGAGCGTAACATGAACGTTAACATCCCACCCCACCCACCCCATGATCAAACTAAATCATGATCGAACCTGTTAACATCCCACCCCACCCCACCCCAACCCAACCCACCCCATCATCAAAGAAAAAAACAAACAAACAAACAAACAAACAGACAAAAGCAACAAAACACCCAGGCGCCCTGCAGCGCCCATGGCAACTATATATATATATATACATGCATGTGTGTGTGTGTATGTGCACATGAAATCATATTGTTTACTGCACATACGCCAACACATGTAGCTCCCATTTTAACAACGCACGCCGCAGTTCCCCAGCGAGCTGCCATCATGCGGCCGCTTCCAGAACCGCTTTGGCCCTGGTCAGGGAGCGCTTCTCAGCCCTTCGGGCCTTGGCTTGGGATCAGGTCTTGTGATTCCACGAAGTTGAACCGCAATTTTAAAAAGGACAATGCACTTCTTTGGGCTTGTTCTATTGAAATTCTGTCAAAAACTGTGAAGACTATGCAAGAATATGGAAAATCCGCGTTCCAAAACTGGCTATGTTTCTCCCTCTCCTCTCCGTCGCCTACTGGGCACTGGAAATCATTGCGCGTCTGACTCAGTGCAAGACATCTTCACGCAGGTCAAAATTCCTCAAGTCGCACAAGGGGGTCTGCTATGGCAAATGGCATTTATTCAGCAACCAAGCCTTGGCACAACAACATGAAGCAAGAGCTAGCCATGTTTCTTAATTTCTCCTGGGAGCCTTTTCTCTATGAAAGTTCTATGCCCCCACATGATGAGTAGACACAATATCCCTCGACGAATCCTCTGTTCATCCCTCGTGAATCCGTTTGGTTCCATCAAAGGGCTGTCGATCTCTCAATTTGGCAGCTTTGCCCCAAAACCCGGACCATGCATCCGACCCCCGCATGGCATCCAAGCGCTCATCAGGTACCCAGCAGGCCAAGGTGCTTCAGCAGAAAGTCGCACTGCTTGTGTAACGTGCGGATCTCCTCCGGTGGATTGGTGCCATGCAAGCCATAGCTACCATGTCTAGCCATGTGAGGCCATGGGTTCAAGAGATAGACTGTGCTGTGGAAAAACATTAGTTGTGATGGTTTTGATAGTTTTCATTGTGCCTTACCACTGCAACTGGGTATGGTCCGGACTTTTCTTACCTCCCACCAGCCCACCCCTGTGTATCAATGTCCATCTCACCCCATCCACCTCGTCTAGTGCCGTCAGAACCTGAAACACTTTGGGACTCCGACCCATTCTCTGCGCACATCTGCCACAAGTTGATACATGATGCCCAAAACAACCGCAGTATGTCCCAGTCAAGTTGGGGCACTAGTCATCTCATGTCAAATCTTCCAAAGTTCAACAGCCACCTGCACACACACACACACAGAGAGAGACAGAGAGAGAGAGAAAAGAGAGAGAAGAGAGAGAAGAGAGAGAAGAGAGAGAAGAGAGAGAGAGAGAGAAGAGAGAAGAGAGAGAGAGAGAAGAGAGAGAGAGAGAGATAGAGAGAAGAGATAGAGAGAGATAGAGAGAAGAGATAGAGAGAGATAGAGAGAGATAGAGAGAGATAGAGAGAGATAGAGAGAGATAGAGAGAGATAGAGAGAGATAGAGAGAGATAGAGAGAGATAGAGAGAGATAGAGAGAGATAGAGAGAGATAGAGAGATAGATGGATAGATGGATGGATGGATGGATGGATAGGTTATTGGCGCATATTTACACACTATATCAGCTATAGGAGCAGGCTCCAAGGCATACCCTACTTGCAGCATGCCTCGTTCAACGACCGAAGTCCCTGGCGACCTCAGGAACTGTCAAGAACCAATGGAATCTGTCAGGAGGCTCCACGTTTTCTCCTTGCCTGAGCCCTGTACATGTTTGAATTGGGTTGTAATACGCCGTTCTCCCAAGTATTTTCAATGGATCTCAATACCCCCAAACGAAATCCCAGTGATATGTCTTGGATCTCTATTCATGACTTGGGATCCCAAAAAAATGGGAATATCCTCTGATAGTTTAACATAAGTATGGAAAATCAGAGTTAAGAACTGGGGAAGCATCTATAAATGGGCCATATTCATCCATATTCCATAGCTAGGTGAAATTACCAGAGGGTATTTATATATAACATTATGCTGGGAATGTATTCCATAGTGGTTGGCCTCCCCCAGCTACACCAAGCTGAAGCCCCTTGGAGCCCCAAACTGCGCTGGAGATCAGCTTCCAGCTCAGCTTTGGCGGCCTGTGATCTCCGTATGTTGATAGTTCTCCATGATAAAACCCCTATAAATGGTGGTAACAAGCCTTTCATTACGTATCAACGAACAGCGGCAGAAGGGCCTCTTTACTTCCCAGACTGCGGTTGTCCGCCATCTTCTTCTCGTTGCTGTTCTTCACCAGGTTCTCATACTCCGATTGTCCCTAGGCATTTGAAAACTGAGGCAAGATCTACTTGATCCGCGCTAAGGCATACTGTCGGAGTGCAGTTTTTGTAATGAAAACTGGAGCCCTGGGTTAAGAGGCTCCACGGCGCATTTACAGTATGTATATGATATGGATTTATCATTGGTCTGAGTTGCAACCAAACCTTGCTACAAGTTTGACGATTGTTTACTTCTTTCAACTTACACAGTGGGACTAAAAAGTGAAGGCCATCAAGGGACTCGGAGCAAAGCTGTCACACATGTCCCCCGTTGAAATGCAGCTGGAACGGCAACCTACCAGTTCCCATCCCTGTGTCAAGCGAGTTACGATAGCATCCTCTGATTCCAGCATCGCGTTCTGCTTCTGAACATCCGCCTCAGCTTGGTCATGCTGGGTCAAGGTGGGTGAAATCGCAGCCAATGCCGATGCCCCCGGGCCCATTGGCCCATCAGTGACTCTGTGACGGGTCCAGCCCACGGGGCCCACACCTTGATGGTGTTGAAGAGTTGCAGCACCCGAGTAGCTCCACCACCTTGGAAGCACTGCCGTGGGACTTGGAGCCATCAGGGTGCCCAACAAAAACTTTTGTTGCCACGGCAACAGTTCGACAGTTCGGAAATTCAAGCCTGCAAAAAAGTGACCGAAAAACAGATTGTTGCAAAGGAATCTCTGCTTCATGGATCTAAGAAGTCCGAACAATGTTAGAGGGCTCGGTGCCGAAGTTCTATATATGGTGCAAAGAGGAGAAAAAAAATGAGAAATGCATAATGCACCCAACAAAAAAAATACATGCAGCATCAAAAAGTGCCTTTCCTCCCATGCCAGAAACATATTGTTTAAGAAATATTTGTCGGTTTCCATCTTGGTTTTCAGCTGGGGACCAGGGAACACCAAGATCAGCCAGGCAGCCTTGTGTTTGGTAGGACAAGTCCGCCGTGGGCGGTGGGCTTCTCGACCTGGTCTTGAGTCGGGGACAAGCATAAATCATCGCATCACCAGCGGATTTATCATTTAGTCAGACAGTTTCATTTAGTCAGACAGTTGGAAGCTGCTTTTGGGTAGAGGACGTGCCTGTATAGATCAAGTTCAATACCAGGAGCCCCACAAACTCAAAACTAGTATGATCTATTTGACTGGTTAAGACTCGAGGTTTTGTTGATGGCCCCCATTTGCCAACACTTCAATGCCACTCTTCTGCACACACACACACACTCTGCCTTGAGGCTGCCAAGGATGACGAAGTGTCTTGAGCCTGACTTTGCACATATCAAATAAAATCACCATTGCGTTGAGAGCCCCTCCACCCCTCCCAGTCAAGACTGACAGTGATTGTGAGTTGTGCAGATTGTGCCGCTTCATGCTCAGACCCTCACAGAAGCAACTTGGCCAAGCGCCTTATCAGATGCTTGGACCAGGGACGTAGCATAGAACCTGCGAGGGAAGGCTCAGCCGCGGGTCACTCCGCCATCCTTGCAGTGGCCCTGCCAGCCTCTCCAAGCGTTTCTCAGCCACTGCCAGAAGCTCCAGGGCCTGATTTTCCAGTCATGTTTCGATGGATTTTGATTTAAGGGAAAATTGACAGGAAACCACATTGTTTTACCCTGAAAGTTCAAGGTTTCCTGTTGCAAGTTATTGGGTACGTGATGCGGAAGCCCAAATCCCCAACCCTCGGGGCCCCGGGGTACGCGAAAAGCCTGTTGGGACTCTGCAGGGGTCCAAACTGCCAGAGTTGGCTATGTTCATTAAGAAACGCGTTTTTGAATCTTCCCCCCCTTTGACCCATAGCCAGTCCGAGTAGGCAGTCACAACGATCCCACACATTGTGATCTGAGGGCACCGAACGGCGTGGTTGGTGTCTCGGGACTTTTCCTTGGAATGGCAGGGAGCAGACTAGGACTGCGGCAGAGCCTGCTTGCTCTACGAACTTGGAGGCTGCCCGTCTAATCTGTGGGGAAGTGGGTAGCCCCAACCATTTTTCAGAGGAAACCATCTAAGCGGCATCTGAAGAACACCTAATGGATTTGCTACAGTACTTAGGCGAAAGAAAGGGAAGTGGAAAAAACACATAGTCACCTCCATGGCGGTCAACCTCGCCCTGAGACAAGCTGCAAAGGCTGTTCGTTCGGCTTGCCGCGCACTGGTGGTCTTCGCCACCTGCTTGTCCAAGTCCTGGCGGGATCTGGTCATGGAAAGCCTCCTACAGATTTCTTCGCGCATCAGCTCCTCCATTCGAGCCTTCAGGCTACCAATCTGCCCCACCACGGTGTCCAGCTCGTTCTGTGTGGGCGCAACCGATGTTGCCCCACGGGGCCATGACGTGGCGGGGGGAGAAGAGGCACCAACATGGACTCAAAAGACATCAAAAGACTAGGTTTGGAACCATGAAGGCCATGGAGCAAACTGTGAACTACCCAAACTACCCCTTCAGAGTGCTTGACTGGTTGGTTTTGATGTCACCCAAAGTCTTGTGTGACAAATGCGGAGTGTGCAACCAAGGCCTGGTAAGTGGCAATGATGCTTTTGGCATCCTCGCGCCGCTGAGCGATGGGTAGTTCTCTTTGTGCTCAGGCCACTGGTGTCCAGTTGGTTTCCATCATCAGCCGGACAGTTTTCAGAATCCTGTCATTTCAGTATCCTGGTCAGTAGAATGGATTGTGATAATCTCCAATATCTTGGGTGGTTCAATCACCAAGAATCAACCAATAGGGCCTTCCCTTTGGGGGGGTTGAACACACAGCTATTTGGAAGTACCGATCACACATGATCACACAGCTCCAATGGCCCAAGGGGCCTTGGGCATTGGACCCAGTTTGAACGCTTCCACCCTCGACTTTCACTGCCTCACCTCAGCCTCTCGCTGCTTGTTGCTCTTAGCAGCTGTAGCCTCATCCAGCGAACTATGGCAGTCAGCTTGGTTCAAGAATGGGAGATCAACAATACTAAACCTTAAACTTAAACCATCCCAAATTTGTAGTTTATTCTTGGGCACACTTACCTCGGGATTCAGCGACCCCCCTAAGTCCACCAGGCCTGACGAAGCTTGGTCTCGCAATACTTCTGGCGGTCCTGGAAATGACAAGGCCATTGTACTGAAGCTACGGCGCTCAAAATCCCCAAGGATCTCCTCATCGGAGGCTTGCTCCTGGTCCAGCACGTCATGGAGGTCCTAGTGACCCAATGAGCATGGCGCAGGTGCTGGCAAATCGACATCAAAATAGAGAGGTGTTTTGGGAGCCGAAAAATTGATAATGGCCACGTTCTCTGAAGTTTTTTAGGAGAGAAGGAAAGACAGAGGCCTTGCCTGTCTTCAGGAAAAGGGTGATTCGCAAAAACAACTGAAATGATATACATATATATATATATCATATCTATATATATACATTCTTGTGGTGAAAACATGATCTTTTGAAGCAATTGTCAAGGCAACTCCAATATTCTTGGAAGACAAAAAAGCGAGCAAGAGCTTATATTTTCTCTAGACTCTAATAGACATGTTCTTTGCAGAGGCATTAGCCACAACTTATCATAACTTATCTATATACCTTCAAAAGGTGATGTTCAACCTGAACATAAAACAGAAAAGCATAGGGTTCCAGATGTTTATTCCGATAAAAATGACTTTTTGGAGGTGCTAAGCACAATTCAGCTAGTTCTATGGATGTTTTTTCTGTCAAATTAAGGATGTTTATCATGTTTGATATGGTTGTCATTGGACTGGTTTAAGAAAAAAATCTACAGGAAAGCCCTATATTTCATGGTAAAAACATGTAAAAACCATGGTTTCCTGTAGATTTTCCCATCAACTAATCCATTGAGGTTGACTCTCCATGTTTGGTCAACTCTGCCAAGGGTCATCGATGTGTCGGAGCACATCCCCCATGCCGCGACCACCTTGTCCACCTTGCCGCCATGGCTTCCATGATCATTGTGGGGGATTTACTCATATTTTCACTGAGGTTAACCCATAGATAAACCATATTTTTTGGTTAACCCATAATAAACCATTTACCTTAAGCAACAATGAGAAAACATGTACCTTAAGCCATGTTTGATGACACTTTAATATACTTTAATGGTATATCCCAATATATCCCATATGATATCCCATATGATATCCCGAAAAATATACCCTCTGGTAAACGTTTACATAACTATGGAAAGATCCACCATTTTCAATGGGTAAATCAGGTAAATCCACTATAAATTCTCCATTTTCAGTAGCTATTTTGACATAACCAGAGGGGATATATCCGCTCCGCAATCCCACTGTCATTGGGTCCAAAAATGACCGGCTGCATCCAGGCGGCGCAAGGCTTGCTCCAAGGAGTCACCGATGGCCTGTGCAGTGCCAAGAGGTGGGAGCGCAAGGCAGCGAGGAATCGCACCCTCGAATCTTTGGGATTTATATTGATCATTTTATAGGGAAACCTAGGGAAGTCCCCTTACTAATCTTTAGTCCTGGATATCTGATTTTTTTGAAGTTCATTGGGGCTCCAAGCTGGCGATGCTGGCAATTTAGGGTTCATCCCAAGCCCCAAAAACAGCTCAGGCTATGGAGACGTGCAGCTGAGCCAGGCTCCTGTGATTCAGAGACCTGCATGAAGCTGAGGGCAGCTGGAACCTTCGGTCACCGCACGCCATGAGGGGCTGATCCAACCCATCCTGGAAAAGTGTCGGGTGGCTTCAAGTTAAATCGGTCATGGCTGTTGGACTCTGCCAGGAAAGAAATAGTTGAATTCCTGTCAGCCATGGCAATCTAGGATGGTGAGAAACTCGTACATGCCCCAAACATGGCTGAAGCCTGCATCTTGCCAGAAAGGGCCAAGTACGTGATAAAACAGGTGCAATGGGGTTGCTCAATCGATGAGCACTGTTCATCTTTCAGCCCGTATCATTTTGGTGAACTGACAATGTTCAGCTTCGCAGGGGGGGGAACCTCGTGGCATTGACCGTGGAAGACATACGTTACCGTTACATCAATCCATTGCCATCAAAGAAGGTGAGCCGCTGTTGATGCTCCAAATCCTAAGACCCGACCAATGGTCTCAGTCCAGCACTGGCGAAAGGCCATCTACAGAGGTCCTGAAAACTCAGGTGAACCGCGGATGGCCCACACCTGGTTGTTTAAGTGGCTGGCTTTCAGTTTGGCAGTAGATTGTGACTTTCCGAACCGTTACTAACCCAACAGCGTCCTGGCTCGTGTTGATAGCAGCGCTGTGGAGGTGGCATCCCGGATGGTGTCGCGCACCTGGTCTTTGCTTAGGAAATCCACCTCAGGCGTGGCCGAGGATCAGCCATGGGCCTTGTGTTAGAAACACCACTTTGGACATTTGAGTTTTAGGAGGCCGCTTAATCTACTGAAATCCACTAACTTGTGGTAAACAATCACATGGCTGGTATGGCTCTGTAGAAAATCTGGACGGTAGGGGAAATCCTCCACATCCATACTGAGACCAATGTTGCTTCTGCACATCTCCGGTCTTGGAAGGCCGAGGAAAGTAAATCATTCTTTCAACACCAAAATTATGTGTAGTTTTTGTAGCCTAAAAAATTGAACAAAATGTGGTTTGACTCCCTAAACTTGGAAACGTTAGCTGGCAAACTTGCGAGAAACCCCCAAACAAAATGGAAATCAGTGGAGAAGTTTTTTGGTTTAAGACCTCAAGATTGGAGAATTCTCTAAAAATCTGGTGGGAAAAAAAAAACGTGGTTTAACCATGTTTAACCATTTGACCCAACAAAATATGGTGGACCCCTTCGATCTGGGCCTCCCAGCCGTCTCTGTGAGTGCTTGGAGCTCTTCCGCCTGAGAGGCCTGGTACTGGCTCCAAGCCTGGTAGCGCCAACAACAACAAGATTGGTATATACATGTCATATACTAAGTTAAATACAGTATTTGTGTTATATTGTAATCTACTATATGCATCTATACGTTGCATTGTATGTTATCTAAATATATCATGTGACGAATCATGTGATGTTACAATGGAGTTCATCGTATTATACTATGATATAATCTATATATTGTATTGTACATGTTGAATTCTATACATCTGTTGTATTCGTCTATATTTTACCATTTCACAGAATCATATCATATTATGCGACGTTATATTGAAAGGTGTTGTAACTTACAATCTTATTTTTATGTGATTTTAAATCATATCAAGTTTATTGTGGTATTGTCAATTTTAGATTATACTAAAACTAAACTACTTATATTGAGTTATCTTATTTTTTTAGTTATCTTAATCATACTGTGCTTTATTGTGTTAATTTGTTTACCTACTACTATGCTATTTTACTTTGTATTGTATTGTATCCTTTTATCAAATTTCACGCTCTGTTTAGTTTTAAACATGTTACTTTATATTGCATGTTAGGCTACATTATGCTATTTTATCCTGCGCTATACTATATTTTACTATTTGGTACTATAATATAGTTCATTTCAAGTTATATTATATGAAATGATTTTATCTTACTAATTGAAATCAAAATAGGTTGAATATCATGTTAGTCTTTTTAAGTTATTTGACTTCATATTAAATTTGATTGTATACTATCATGCTATCTGAAATTAACCATCTTAACTTATATTGTATCATATTATATTATGTATTGTATGGTTTGGCGTGTTATGTTCTACACATATATATATATATATATGTATATACATGTGTGTGTGTGTGATTATTGGTTCACTTGTTCATGTATTTATTCCTTTGTTCATTCATTTATTTACTTGTGTGTATGCACATGTGTATATGTGCATATTGAATGCTGTCTTTAATTCCTTTTAATTTTGCACTGACGTAGCACAATGCTTCCGCATGAGCTTCCGTGTGGCTTCCGCGGAGCTGCCCCTAGCTCTTCGCTTCCACACGGCTTCCACGAGGCCCCTGGTTTCCGCGACACTATTATGACTCGAACGCTCTCCACGCTGGCTTCCGCAAAGCTTTCACCATGCAGATCCCAGCCACCATGGATAAAATGAGCAATAAAATAGACACTATTTACACATGTTTGTGTGCGTGTGAACACGATAGAATAACCAATTGGATCCAATTGGCATGATTTAGTGGTGTAGCTCACGTGTTGCAAACAATTGTTGATTATGACCATTCGAAGATTCGATCCCACCAGTGATGTGACGAATCAAGGCCTTCTCCTTCTCTTCACAGGTCTTCTTCAAGGCTGTGGCGAATTCGCTGTTTTCCTGGACGCTGATCCACCCATGCGTTTCAAATAGCCATAGGAAACCCCAACACCCCAGTAGTATGGCAATTGGGAGGGTCGGCTGATCGAACAGGGCCATGGCAACCAGTTTCTACATGTTTCATCTAGTATATTCATTTAGAAACTGGGTGAATCTTACAAAATAGCGTCCACTTTAGATTCCGGTCGTCCTTTTGAGCTTCTGTCTGGTCCTGGCAACCGAGGTGCTGGCACTCCGGTGGGACCTCTGGAAAAATGTGCGCCGCTAAAAGGGACCTGCAGTAAAAGCCTCCTACAAACAAAGACAAACCAAGAGCTTAACCCACTTGGATTCATTATGATTCATTCTTTCAGAAGTGAACTAAGGTAAAGTTGGAAGTGACAAGGTGAGATGCTTAACACCGTCCCTTAACAAGGGAATCAAGTAAACATGGCGACCGCAAGCAAAGCGGTTTTTTCGATGAATGCGCAGCCAAACGGTCAAGGGCCCTCGTGAGAGAAAACATGACAGTCAGATGAAATGAAAAGACAACTCAACTGTTGCATGTGACATCAGCCCCTGAAAAATCCTTTGGGTTGGCTTTGAGTTTCTTTCTGACTTCATGCTGTCTCCCCTGGGCTAGTGTGATCTCCTCAGCCTGGATTCGAAGCTGAGAAGTTTGCAACAAGTCCATCATCGGCTTCTCGTGGGCTCCTGCAAGTTTCGTTAGAGAATCTGCTGGGTTCAGGTTGTGCGGTAGCCATCGCACTCTTCCACGGCATCTTGCAATTGAATCTTGGATAATTGCTATCTCCAGGGCAGAGCGATCGCAATCGCCAGATGACTGTTCGGATGCTGATGCGTCGAACAGGGACTTGGCATCAACGATGGCAATGCTCAAAGGATCTGCAAAATCAGGATCATCTGAAGCCACAACCACTGGTGCTCCACGACGACCTTGGCTGTCGTCCAGCTCAGCCTGCAAACGTGGGTCATACCTTGACAGTCTAAAGCTGTTCCACATTGCAATTTGTCGCTCAAGTGCACCTAGAGCAGTGGAAAGTGATATGCTCTCGCACAACATTGTATTTCCGGCTTTCCTTCGAAGCCTCCGGGATTTCCAAGCCAGCAGTGATATTGGAGCGTCTAAGCCTTGATTTAGGCGAGGACTTGTTATACCTTGCAGCCATCCGTGTTGAGGTTTCGACTTTCCAGTTGGGTCAAACGAGGCATCGGCCACCACAAAGTGCCTCACATCCTTTTCTGGGATGCTATGAATCTTCAGAGTCACTCGATGGGCCTTGATTCGTTGGACCGTCTTGTTGGTGTCGATGGCTGCTTGAACTGTTGGGTTTGGAAAACTTCCAGCAAGAATGGATGCGGCTGCTGCTGCGTCAGGTCTTCCTTCACGAGCAGTCCAATTCAAACTCGCAATGGTGCCTCTCAGCTGAGCTTCCTCCTCGGCTGAAAGAAGAGTGGTCTCGGCATTCTTCAGCAGAGTCTTCTTTTCCAGCACCACTGGTCGAAGTCTATTGGCCACGTAGTCATCCATGCTGTACTGAAAGGAATAATCCTCCAGCTGTTTGATCCTCCTGCCAGCATAGGCAGTCCCTGCAGCTTCCTCACGGAGTTCCACAGCCTTTCCAAATCGAAGTCGTTCTTGAAGAAGTTTCATCTTGCGCTGATGAATCTCACCGCCACTCTCCAAGATGTCATCGACCTCAATAATCAGAATACCCTCTGTGGGCGCATGGGAACTTCGATCTTCGCTGTCAAGGGTGAGGACACATCGGTCATAGGGATTGATGCGATAGCCCAAGTCCAAAACCACTTCCAAAAAGGATTTTCGCCACCAAGCCGGCCCTGATACCAAGCCGTACACCTCAGTCTCGAGCATGATCAGCTGCTCTGAAGTGCATCCTGGAAATGTCCAGTCGACTGGCATAGTGCAAGCTAACTTGTTCTTCCTTGTTGTTGGGAGTGATTGGAGAAATGCTGTCTTCGCATCTTTGACCCGCCCGGACCAATGCCGGGTCGCACTCAACTGGAAGAATAAACAAATTGATATAGAAAGTGGAGTCGGTGAGCTCCTTTCTATGCAATGTATCATTGGGTCACGCCATCCGATGACACACCACCTCGACTTGGCTGACACGCCCTCGTCCAGAGTCGGCTCGTAGTTGTCCTGGCCATAGGATTCTGGAAGTGTGGCGAACTTGTCGCCATTCGGTTTCCACCGGTCGACATAGCGGGAACCAAGCACATTCTGTGGGAACTTCTTTCGGAATGCTCGGCTCTCGTCGGCACTCATGATCCTAATGGCCTTGTTGTCTATGAGCGACTGGACCTCCTTCTCCCTGGCCTTCTGAAAAACTACTCGATGTTTTTCGTTCAAGGACTTGAAATCCACCTGGCCCGGCGACATCTTCGCCTTGGTGATGTAGACGCATCGGTCTGCACAACTGTAACAGCCCACCGCATCCTCCGTTCGAAATCCATCGTTGGAGAGCGGTGACATGCTGCTGCGTCCTGATCTCTGATCCCTCCACCAAACTGCACCATCTGGTCCATTCGTCCAGTTGTTGTGTCTAGTTCTCGTTCCATCGAAGTCGGCAATTTCCAAAAAGGAGGATGTTGAGCCATCTGGAGGTCTTGGCGGAAGCGGGAGAGGAGGTGGATTGCCAACAAAAGGATATGGCTGCACTCTGGGACCTGCATTTCCACGTCCTCTGATTGGTGCCCCCGGTTCTTGCCCCTCTCTTGAAGCGCGAAGTGTACCTCCAGAAGCTTCATCGACAACAATGCTCGATCTTCGACTTGCTGGAACTGATGGTGGAGCGCTTGGAGCTGCCGTTGAAGGTGGCACTGATGGCGCTCTAGTGCTTTCGTCTTCTGGCTCCAAGTCGTCAGGGATTTCGTCCTGATCAATGGCCATGTCTCTGGGCGTGGTGATTGGCGTAGTTGGAGCCATGCTGATCTCATCATCATCTGGAACCTCTGGGATGACTGGAACTGGTTCTTCAGGGATAGGCGGCAATTGCTGCGGCCCATTCATGTCCTCATCCAAAGGTTCTGTGGAGATCTGCAGCTCTTGTTCTTGACCAGGTACAGGCTCTTGGGTCAAATCATGGAATTGTCGGACCTTGCCGTCCTTGATGTCCTTCAACATTTCTGCAGAGAGCTCCTTGATGAGTTCGGCTCCAAGGTGTTCCTCGGCTGTAGCCGGTCGCAAATGTTCTCTTGAAACTTTGAGAAGATGTCCTCGAAGAGATATCCACATAGACCTTTCATTTGGAGAGATAGCGAGAAGAACTCCAGGGCCAGACCATCCAGTGAAGGTTGGAATAGACCCAAACAAAAACCCATTCTCCTACAGACAGTGGCTTCAGGTCAGAGCTGCGAGTGGCTGCTTTAACGGATCTACGGACAGAGTCAATGTCCTGCTGTTTGATCCAGGCCATCTGAGCTGCTTCTCGAACTTTCCAACTTCGCTGCATCTCCTCGGAGGCTGACAGCTGCAAAAGCTCTGGGTTGAGGATGTCGTCTGAAAGAAGACTCCCAGGCATCCGTGGATTCACTCCCAGGGCTCGTTGGTATTGCGAGAAGCCTGACCGATTGAAAGCCCTGTTTCTTGCTATACAGGTCTCCTTCAGGCACAAGTCCAAGTCCTGAAGAGTCATGGCGGAGACTTCATCGAGAACAATCTTGAGCTTTTCCTTGAAGGTTCCACCGGCCTTTTCGGTGCGAGAGTTTTGCCAAGGACTGTTGGTGTCTGTGAAGTGCACCAGAATCCCCATTTCCATCACTCGCTGTGAAAACTCTTCTCCAAAGAATTCTCGTCCTTGATAGACGATGACAATGGCAGGTACACCAAATGGCATAAACCAACACCGCAAAATTCCTTGGTGTGTTTCATGAGCATCCACATTTGACAGTCTTTCGATGATCTGCAGGCCGGTTCCCCAACACAAAACATTGAGCAAAGGATATTTGTTGCCTCTCCATTCGAAAAAACAAACATCTACTCCGACGACCTCATTGAAAGCCAGATTGCGAACTAGGTGTCCAGGACGAGGAAGTGAAGGTTTCCTAGCAGATTCACAGATTGGGCACCTGAACTCGCTTCGAACCCACTCGATAATTTCCGGCTTTGCCTGGGCATGCCGCGAGGCTCGAAGAAAAGTCCACTGATCAGGATGACCCAAATTTCTGTGAAGACGAAAAACTTCTCTGCGAAGGTCAGCAGCAATGTTGAGCTTGCCGTCTTTCCTCGTCTTGCCTTTCATGGCTTCTGCAAGTTGTTGGACATCTGAATCTTCGGCCAGAGGTCGGAGTTGGTTGCTCACATTTTTCATCACAGGTTCCTCCACATCGTCGTCCAAAGCAGGAAGCGGCTGACGACGCAAAGTGGGCACACGACCACTACCTCCTCCCAAAATTCTGTTTGATGGAAAATGTGTGGCCGATTGAACTGTAGCAGCTTTGTAAACTTGAAATTCTTGTTGAAAATCACCTTCTGCCAAAACATAGGATGCCAAGGGTTGGACAAAAACTCGCAATTCACTGTCCACTGCATGAAAAAGTGCTTGTGGAAGAGGTTCCACTGCAGCATGTTGATCTCCTTGAATGAAAACCACTCCATGAAATTGCAAATGACGTCTCAGTCCCTGCAAAATGGCTCTCACAAAGGATGGTGTATACTGAGCTGCAGCTGCTGCACGACCACCGATCAAAGGTTGGTGTCGATGATCTCCTGGGCATCGTTTGTGCAGCATTTTCACCTGTGGAAAACAGTTTGTCACCAACATTGTGGGCTTGCGAGCAAAGTCACCCTCTTTTGTGCGTAGCTGAAAGGCGCACATGTCAATGGTGATCTCATAGACCGTCTTCCTGGCTCGAAGACGTCGGGCTCGTGGGTGATTCCACGATTTGGCATCTCTTGGATGTTCCGGCAGGAAGGCTCGTTGTTCATCATCTTGTTCTTCGGCAATCTGAAGAGAGTACTCCCAGTGAAGGAGTCCTTCTTCCTCCTCTTCAAGGACTACCTCTTGGCACCGCTTGAAATTGGACAAGTTGCGGAGGGGACTGAATGTAGTGCATGGTGGGCTCAAAATCACCAAGGCTGGACGCCACAAGCGGATGTGCTTGAGAACTTCTAGGCGAACTTTTCGATCTCGAAAATCGAAGCCACTGGTGAGGTCATAGGCTTGCCCAACTTTCCATGCAGGCTTGTGGCCTCTTTTGTTTTGCAGTTTTGCTTCTGCAGTCACCCTCGGCGGACTGTATAGCTCCATGATGTCCGTGCCAAAATGGTTGGACATCTCCTGGTTGATAAAGATCTTGGCTCCTCTGGGTAGGGCTGTTGGTCTGCAACCCCAATCTAGATCTTCAGCAAAGAAGTTCTGGTTGCAGTTGTTCAGAGGGTACACCAAACAAAGTCGTAGAGTCTTGCCCTTGATCTCGTCATGGTTTGGCGGCAGTGGCATCCATTCATCCTGCCTTTGGAAAAAGGTATGCCGGGAGTCTCCCAGCCAGTGCGGGACTTGTACAAAGGATTGAATTCCAGGCAAATTCCAAGTGACTTCGCAATTGGAAGAGAAGGTGAGGAGCAGGATGGCCGCCATCTTCGCGACTGAGGCCACCTTGCTAGCCACAGTCTGAAATCTGTGCACTGTGTTTCAGCTCGGCTTTCATCGTGGTGCTGAACTTGGTGTCGTGGGACTTGGTCCTCATAGCTTGAAAAACTCCAAAGCACGTCGGATCTTCCATGTTCACGGATCCAAGATGTGCTCCTTCTCCATGGCTGTCGCCAGCTCGAATTCGTAGCCCAAAACGGCTTCCACCCGCTCTCTCTGGTGATCCTCGTTGTCAGCGCAATCTCCTCGGGAGTCAACATGTCTTCCATTGGACTCTGTCTCCATCTCGACTTCGTCCAATTCGTTGCCGGCTAGCACAAAGGTCTCGACTTCGTGGTGTTGATGACCTGCTGGATCTGGCGTCGGGGTCTTGGCACGACGCGTCGGCACCAATCCAGTCATTCTTTCCTGGCCCACCTTCTTGTAGGTCCTGCCACGTGACTCTCTTGACACCTTTCCTTGGCTCATCTGCTGCACAGTCACCTTTTGAGTCTTCAGGTCTGGTCGACTCCTTGGTGGTGGCAGGTAGGAGGGAAAGCTCTCCGGGGCTGCTGTGGTTGTCACCACTTGAGTTGAACTTGAAGACGGCGCTTGCAGCCTTTCCCAACGACCTCCACACTGCAGGCATGTGAACCAAAAGTGACCTTTGCCAGCTCGATGACGGATGTATTCCTCTTCGTGGATGCATGTCTCCACCTCCCGATTCCACTGCTTCTGGGCTTGAGATCGCGGCAACGGCTGTCCGATCGCCCTTCGAATTGGAGCTTTGGGATCTTTGGCTTCTCGGCTGTCCTTCTTCTTGGTCACAGTCTCGTCCTCCTCGTCCGGTACCTGGATGGGCTTTTTGATCAGGTACTCCATCGCCATAGTGTGGCGGGTGTTGGCCATCATCATCATCAATGCCAGTACCAATCTGCGCCAAGTGGCTGCCGGTTTGCTCGTCTTGGGAGAACCACTCGGAAGACTGCTGGAGGCATTCTCCTTGGATACCAGCTGTCGGCACGATTGAATGAGACTGGACATCGCTGAGTCGCCGTGGACACCAAAGAACACCACTGAAAATCAGCTTCTTGAGCATTTGGAAACGCTGCCCGGACTGGGGCGTTTCTCCATCACCAGTTGAAACATCGGTCACAAAACGACCAAAATCAAATTGCGAACGATCTGCAACAACAAATGGCATGAAAATTGACGCCAACCAACCCAAAATCTGTTTGTTGTTGCTGGGCTCCGACTGCCGCAAATCAAAAGTAGGTGATATGTCATGCTCTTCTGCCAAATGTTGATCCAAAAAACTCAAATCAAACTCAATAACTGTGGGACCCGGCTGCACCTGCGCAGCTGTAGAGGCTGCTGCAATGGGCGGCTGGTCCTGAGGCCGTGGCAAAGATGAGCATGATAAAGTGGCTGTCGGGGTGATCACAACATCTTCGGGTTGTAGTTGTGCTGAACATGAAGCTGAACATGGTGATGAAATACTTTTTGATGAAGACACTGAAGTTGATGGAAAATCAGCTCTTTTGACACCTCGGCTGAACTCGCGTCGAGCACTGTTTGCCCAATTGGAGCTTGATGCCGGTTGGGATGAACTCGATTGTGAACTCTGTGGAAACGCTTGTCTGGTGGTCTCATCAGCTGCCATTGGAATTGAAGCAGCGCTACCGGTGCCCAACACATGTTGGTTTGATGCAAACACTACAGCTCCATGCCAACTCCCTTCGAGATCTCTGTTAGCACGAGCATCTTGCCAAAAGTCTCTAATGACTTGGTGTCGACCACCCTCCAGAAAAGCATGGGTGAGTCGTTCTGGTTCCAAAGTGGATGGGTCTTGGATGATGGCACATTCCTGAGGCAGCACCATTTGACGACGACCTCGAGCTGGTAGGTCCTGAAGGTGATGCATCTGCCCGTCTACAAGCAACCAAACTGAAATGATGGGCTCGGCTTCGACAGTTTCTTGGCTAACAACACCTGAAATGTCGGAATCACAAATGGATCGACATTAGGATCACGTCGAAGTCGCTGTGGCAGATCCCATCCATCTTCTGAGAAATCCAGAATGTTCACTGCCCTGTGTTTCGTGGGCAACCGTCTCATGCTTGTGGACGAACCATCTTCCAAAAACATCAAATCGTGTTTGCAATCAATGGAAGCTCCTACTGATTCCAGCCATCCAATCGGTAGCAAAGGGGGGGTTCTGTGATCGTCCCCATCTTCCAAAATTGTAAATTGCAAAACACCATTGGAACCAGCTACACCTATGGGCACCTGAGCCACCCCTCTCACACAGTGGCGGCTCCACCGATTCCACCAGCACCTGGTAGAGGACCTCCTCTTTGCCAAAGTGGCCGAAGGTTCTTCTTCTTCAGCTCGGCTTCCAACAGCTCCATTGCACGGTGACCAATCACGGCCTCCTCAGCTGCTGTGTCGACCAGGGCCTCATACGGTCGGCACTGCACTGCATGAAAAATCATCCGTCTGTAGGGGGCTCCACGATCAGCTGACTCACCAGTTGGAACCATGTATCCAGAATTCTGCATCATGAAAATTTGGGGTCCATTGGCAGTCATGAGGAACTGTTTGCGAGCATTTGATTGACTTGAGTTGGGCTTTTTCTGGTCGGACCGGAATGGGCAATCTTTTGACATGTGCCCCAACTCATCACAGTTGAAACATCTTGTACGTGAAAGCAAATCATCCTCATAGGACTTGACATATCTAGTCCCCTTTGAAAACTTGCTTTTGCCCTTTCCGTAGTTCTTCTGGGTTTTGGAATGGCGCTTGCCTTTCCCTTTTCCGCCAGAGTCATTTCCCCTTTTCACAAATCCTCTCTCATTCCGTCTCTTCTGAAGCTCTTTGCGAACATCTCGATACGCACTGTGATATGCCAGAATCTCCGTGGACTCATTCTCGGTGAAGTTGCGATCCTCAAAGTATATGTATGGATGACCGTCGGCATCCTGTGATGATGACTCATCGTCATCCCATTCTTCATCACCGGCATTCTCGTCCATCTGCTGTTCTGCGGAAAACTGATCTTCTGCATCTTCATGTTGATACGTGGCATAGTTTCTGCTTTGAACCCCAGACTGAGCTTTAACCAGCATCTCCGGTCTGTCTAAGGTCCTCAACAGATTTGCCACTTCGTCAAATGATCGAAGTATAGGACCACGTAGCATCAACATCTCTCTTTGAAACTCATTAAGACCAGCTTGTTTCAGTAAAATCCGGCCACACAGTCTGTCAGAAATCACCTCTCCCAATTGGCTCTCCATCTCCTGACGGGCAAGTTGCTTGGAGGCTATGTAAGCTGTAAAACTCTCAGATTTGCCCCTCTCACCCTCGTAAAGGAACTTGTCGATCGCCTTTGGTGCTGATGCCTCCAGGTACGGAAAGTACTTGTCATAGATGGCACTCAGCACTGCACTGTACCCCTGTGGACTCAAAAGGATGTGCATAGGGATTGTATCTGCTATGCGACGTGGCTCAGAGCCTTCCACAAAGCTCTGCAGTAACTTCACTCCACGGCGCTCCAAAGGCAGTTGAGATTCGTGTCCCCAAAAGGGCGAGCAACTTAAGCCAACCTCGGAGGGTTCCCGGCTGACCATTCCATGTCGGGATGTTCTTCTTCTCTCCAGCTAATGCCTGATTCAAAGCCTGGGCAATCAGCATGTTGGGATCTCGCGCAGGGCTTGAGGTCATTGGGCTCCTTGGGTCGAATCCATTTGATGGATTCGGTCTTGCATTCCCTAGCAAATCGAACGCCGAAGTCTTTGGCGCAGCAGTATTCTGAGCAGGAATTCCATGGCCTAAGGCCGATGCAAAAGTCGCTGCATTGAAACCTGTACTCTGCTGACTGCAAGCCGCTTGTTGTGGCCTACCGCCAAAAGCTCCGGTAGGAATCGAAAAACCAGAATGAAACATATGTTGTTGAAACGTCTGTGGCACTCTCCCGGAAGCATCGCCACCAAAATTGCCTGCAGCAGTTGATGGTGAAGAGGAACTCATAGAAGTAGTGCCTAAGGCAGAAGGATTCATAGTTCCAGCTGTCGATGCCTGACGACCTTGATTGTAAGCTAACCACAGGTCAGTTCCAGGAGGAAGGCCATTGCCCTGATTCATTGCCGGCTCCGCTCACCACTGACAAGGTGAGATGCTTAACACCGTCCCTTAACAAGGGAATCAAGTAAACATGGCGACCGCAAGCAAAGCGGTTTTTTCGATGAATGCGCAGCCAAACGGTCAAGGGCCCTCGTGAGAGAAAACATGACAGTCAGATGAAATGAAAAGACAACTCAACTGTTGCATGTGACATCAGAAGATAGGTCTTGCTCCCCTAATGTGAGTCTGTCTTGCCCAAGTCGTCCTTCAAGTCGTCCTGAAGCACCTGCTGTTCCACCTTCAGCTCACCCAGACGCAGCATCCTGAGTTGGGCCCCCAAATAGATAGACAGATGCGCGCATATGCATGCATAGGCATGAAAATAGCAAAGAAAGAAAAGAAAAAGACAAGAGAGATAAAAGAACACAGATAGAGAAAGGCAGAAAGAGAGAGAGAAGGGAGAGACGAGAGGGGAGCGAGAGATGCGTAGTCTAGGCGAGCAAGCTAGAGGGGCGAGAGAGATCGCTTCGCTCTTTCTCTTCTCTCTCTTCTCTCTATATCTCTCCTCTTTCTCTCTCTCGAGATATCTCTCTCTCTCTCGCTCCCTCCCTCCCTCCCTCCCTCCCTCCCTCTCTACCTACCTAGCTATCTAGCTATCTATCTATCTGTCTATCCATCCATCTATCCATCCATCTCTCTATCTATGTGTCTATGTGTGTGTGTAGCGCACAAATATATACATGTGCATGCATGCATGTATGCATGTATGTATGTATGTACGTATGTACGTAATTACATACATACGTACGTACCATACACATTCACATACACATATACATATATCATATACATATTATACATATACATATACATACACATAGACATAGACATATACATAGACGTATATATATATATATGTAATTATAATTATATATATATATACATTATGTGTCTGTGTGTCTGTGTGTAATACAGTACATATGGAATCATATGGATATAGGCTAGGTGCCTCCGTATCTGGGACCCAAACTTTTCTTCCATGGCTTTCATGGCCACCTCCTGTTGCTTTCGCTTGGCTTCCATCAAGCTTGCATGCCTTGGTGACGTCCCGGCCGGGCGTGAGGCGTAAAAAGCCTTAAGCTAACGAGATCTGGTCATATCCGGTCGTCTATGGAAAATTCTATGAGACGTATGATGTATTTATGTAAGTTTATGTACATTCTCTACATCTATTGGAAGGACATCCTGTTTTTCCAAAGCAGTAAGAAGGAGCGTGTTGGCTTGGTAGTTGGTTTGGAGACGTGAGGAACTAACCACCGGAAATTCAAAGACGCAAATTTGGCAAATGTTATGAGAGTCACAATGTCAAAGACACTTACAAGAGTTACCAGAATTACTATCTTTCACTGGCCCACTCTTGGAAATGTCCAGATTGAGTTCACTCCACCTTGGCTCCTGTTTTTTTTTGGGAGCAAATCCTTCCAGGCAAGTGGCTCTGCTAGGCGCTTCTTCTCAGTGCTCTTCATATCTTCCAGGTCGCTACCCATATCCTTCAACAAACAAATACCAAGCCAGGCGGCGATCAGCTTAAAACAGTTGGGATCTAGCAGTTCTCTCCGCCCCCTCCATCAGAAAAAGAAACGTCTGAGTCCAAAGGTGCAACCTGCCCAGGAAAGAGTTGTAAATGCAACAAGATCCCAAGCCTAAGCCCAGTGCCGCAATGGCTTTGGCCCAACGTGGGAAGATACTAAAAGATATGGGAAAAGGGCTTCTCCAGCTCAATGCTCCACAAAGAAGGTGCCAAATCTGGTACCGGCCCCTGCAGTCCTCCTTCATCTGCTTCAGCATTCCAAGCACTTGATCACTGGGCACACCTCAGATGCCAATCTCTTCCCATTTCGCGGGGCGGTCATGGCACTGGTGGATGATCACTGGGTGTGCTGCCGGACGATAGAAAGGATGCCAAAAGGTCGCGATTTCGGGTGGTCATGTCCTTGATGGCAGGGCTCCACAGAATCCAAAATCCCAGGAAAATGACACATGGCGGGGGGCACAGAGAAAGAGAGAGGGGGAGAGAGAAAGCAAATGATGCAAAAGGGTGAAAGAAAGAAAGAAAGAAAGAAACCAACAAACAAACAATCAAAGGCCTCACAATTCTAGTCACAGTCCACTAAGGCTCAAAGGCAATGTCACTCAGTGAAACCATGACACATGTTGAGAGAGTCTTTTGTTGAAGTCCTGCATTGCGACCCTTGGCTTGTAGTAATTCATCCTGCCATCCCTAACTCATATTCAGGGATAAAGGCCGTTTTCCATTAAAAAAAAAAAACAACAACTAAGGGCGAAACCGCAGAGAGGGACAACCTGCCGCCGCTCGTGCTGTATTTGACTGCCGGATCACACAAAAGAATTGGGTCGTGCGAAAACATGGGGTGTGCCTGGTGGCTTCCACACATCAAGCAGCCAGTTTGAACAAAATATATTCAAGCCACCAACCAGGACAGCCCATTGATGGATATGATCCCCCAGCAGTTTTGCAGCTGTTCGCTGGTGCATTGGGTGCTTCGCCTCCGAAGCACCACAGCCCCGGTGGTTTGAAGAAAGGATGCCGCACGATTCTGCTGGAGCGCCTGAATTGCCTCAGTGTGAAACACGCTGCAGTTCCAGAACCATTCGCGTTTCCCTTTCTTGGGGAAGTTTTGGTGGAAAACGAAGAGACTCAGCCAATGGGGGTGGGTCAATGTTGGCTAAAACTGCCAAATGCATGCTCAAAAAGGCGTCAAAAGGTCTCTTTTTTCAGAGATGCTGTGGTGCACTGTTGTTGATACCTAAGAGAAGTGTAATATGCGGAAACTTTACAAGCCGCAGGTGCAACTGGCGCAACACCAGTTGCAATGCAAAAAAAATGCAAACTAAACTCTCCTCAAGAACCCTTACCGTTGATGAGGGTATCGGATGATGCAAGCGTATGGCTTGAATTTTCGGCGTCTGTCTGTTTGCGCCGTTGATTTTGGCTGACGGTTCACCTTCAGACGCAGTGGGTCCAGCTGCGGCCAAAGCCAAAACCCAGGTGTGGCTGGTAGAGCACAGGAACACCAACTCCTTCGAACATGCTGCGAAATTGGGGATCTTCAGCCATCATACTCTTAGACTTCCTGAGGTCAATGAAGTCAACGAAGTCAACTGGCTTTTGCTGACCATGCAGAACCTCGGGCGCGGGTTCATGCACGGAGTTGGAACGGCCTGCGGTGCAGCCCATCTTTACAGCGAGTTAAGAATCCCTGGGGAAACCGCGACGGATTGAGCCAAGTCTGAGGCCCAGCGCAGTTTCGAACTCAGCCCATCTGAGAACTTAATGTGCCACTGGAAAATGCTCTTGGCCAAATGCCCCCCTGAGCAGAGCCACTGCTGTCAGAGAATCCACCGATTCCTGCTGACTCTGGGAGTCCTACCAAAGCATGATCCACACATCAAGGGATGGATTGGATGCCAACGGGGTTGATCCTAACTAAGCAACCTGCAGGAGAAGTGTCGCTTTACAAACCATTTCCCTCTGAATGCAGTCGCTGGGTCCTTCAGAAATGCATCTGCCTCCTGGACACCAGGAGCCAGTGGTTGTTCGGAACATGTCTAGCTAGTTCTTATGTACCTAGCTATGTGAAAATGGCCCATTCATGGATGAGTATACGTATGAACATTATGGATTATCATGCTGACCATAGCTATGTTAACATCTTACGTATCATTGTATATTTATGGATCATTTAATCTAATTCACCAATTCAGCATGATGATGTTCCATAGCTATGTGAAATTACCGAAGGGTAAACAATTGAAGTCTCTTGCATGTTTTTGGATATTTTGTGGCCATCAAGAGACCAAAGTCTCCATGGGAGGCAGGGAATGGGGGCGTCCTTCTTGCGAATCTCTGCTGCACTGCTGATCGCACTCTTTGCTTCGTCCCGGTCCTGGGCACCCCGCTGATCTGAGAGCATCACCACATTTTTTGGGACGGTAAACGACATGATTTAAATCCATCAACTCCTGCTGGAGCTGTTGGGGTCCCAAATTTGTGATTGAAGTTTCAATGGATCACAGGAAACCATGCTTTACATCCTTTGCATCCTTGAAGTGCATTGCTTTCCTGCTCCCCGTACCTTTGATTCTTGGGCATGTGCTTCCAAAATGCCTACACCTCTGGCCTGTCCAGTCATTCCTCAGTTCTGCTGGCGTCCTTCTTGTGTTGCCCAATCTCGCTCTCCAAAGAAATTTGTAGGGCAGAAACCTCCACTGCTTCCAGGGGTGAAAAACAGTCACACGTGGGAGTGGGGGTTGCTCATCACCCCTGACTCCGGAAATTCAAGTAATGTGGGCAACCTAATAGTAAACCTACAACGGTTTAGACCACCCATTCATGGTGATTTTAGGGATGGTTTCTTATTGAGCCTACCCGTTAGGGACAAGCTAGCCCATCCAATGTGGAATAATCATACGTTAATGAGATGCGTCAAACTTCGTCAAATGTCGAAGCAGAGAAAATACCCAAACCTTCACTGACAAATGCACTGGACACTCTATGCATGTCTAAATGGGCAAAGAAATTCAATATTGACATGTTTTAAAAATGAAAAAATTAAAATGTCCTAATTCTTTTGATGTTTCTTGGTTGCCTAATGATGTTCATCATAATTTGTGGCTCAGAGATTAAGAAAACACACGGCACCGGGACAGATGATTCTTCTTCATATTGTTTTCTTTGAGCCTCATTGTATCTATCTTTATTTCTATCATAGTCATAGTCATAGTGGTCTCTTCTACATGTTGTGCATTTCTTACAGCATACTTTGCTGTCTTCAAATTTATCAACATGTTCTATTTGACTGCACGACTGCTACATAAATCACAAAAAGAACTTTGCCATGGTCTCTAAAAGGTATCGCTGACAATAATCCTTCATGCAATTATCTAGTTTCACAGACCCTTGCTTCATTCCGGAAAGAAATAGGAGAAATATACCTTGTCAAAACATGTTTTCAGAACGTGACTAGGTGAAGGGGGCAACTCATGAGAATAGTTTCACAAAAAAAATGTGTTGGCTGTTTGCTTTAAATGTAGCTCTCAAAGTAATGAACTAAAGAAAATTGATTCCTGTTGAAATGCCTACTGCCTATACGCCAAACATCGATAAAAATGGCGCATGAAAACGGTGAGAATGAGTCGTACGAACAATGACGCCGTTCTTAACAAACTCGTTATTTTGCTCTGAAACTGGTCATCATATTGTTTCTTCTATATAGCATGTTGCAAATGATCGCCTATCTTGGAATTGAAGGTAGCTATATATTTTGCATTGTTACTGGGACCAGTTATGTGGCAACCTCAATGGATCAGGCGTTCCCAGTTATGCCAATTTCGGATTTTGGCATTATACATGCAAACCACATTCACTTCGGGTTATATAACGGGTTTATAATATCCCTGTGATGGGTTTTAAATCCGTATTACTGGATTGATGACCATCATCCAATAGTGGACACCACATGGTTTTTTCTCCTACAAACCGTAACATATCGGATGATGGGTTGCAGTAATACCTATAATTAAAGCCTATAATCCAGAAATGGAATTTAAATGAATTTAATGGGTACAGTATGTAATCCAACTTTTGAGGGGTTCAACGCATCATTTTGCCTCCTCACCAGTGACATGTCCTGATTTCGCCTCTTGCGCTTGGGAACGCAGTTGCGGCAAGGACTTCGCAGCCTGCGGCCGATTAGCGGTTGAAAACCACCTGGAATGAGTCAATCTGGATCTTAAAAAAGCTGGGATGGATGGACGTTCATTCGCCTAGAAATTGTATTTCCAGGTATTGATCCACACCTATTTGGGAATCATGGCCGTTTTGGTGATCCAGTTTTTTGCCAAGAACGGTAAGCGCTGCTGTTGGGAACTACTGGAGAAAGTATTTTCTTTAAAGTTCGACGTTGAAAACAATTTCCAAAATTATACCCCCAAAAAATAACTGCAGGGATAACCATGAAATGATTGCAAACAGGTCCAAAGTGGACATTGTGCAAGATGGACTTATTATGCATATGGCGACTAACCATCTGGCCTATCTGTTATCCACAGGCGCAACATGTCAGCAACGCCTCTGCCAACTGAAGATTCAAAGACTCGCTGGTGTCCTTGCAGTAACACATGTACCTCAAAACCAGCTGACCCGAGCTGTCCAGAACCACGGGCTAGTCATGGTGAACGTGAGATACTCTGCCAATCTTTGGTGGGATAATTATTAGATTCCTTCATTTTTGCTGAAAATCCCCCATTCAGTTCATTTTTATTGAAAACCATCACACACCATGCTCTTCAAACGAGAAGGCACTTGTCGTAGACTTTCTTCTTCTCATCCCCTTCGCTACGAACCTGGCAAGATGATGCTGGTGCAGCCGGGTGCAGCCTCAGTAGCCTCAGTTTGATGTTTTGGTATCACCTTAAGTCGCCAAGTAAGTCATGAGTCTGTCATGTCAATGGGTCAAGGGCAATATCTGAATCGCGGACAGTAACATTCCTTTAAGTCTAGCTCCACCGGGTAACCTATCGTCACAAACTCATAGGACTAGCAGTTCTGCAACTGGTTCCAAATCACAGAAGCATCCCCTGTTTATGTTCAAGCGCCAAAATCAAAAATAAAAAACACATTTTTGGTGATAGAAGCACGTCATTTACGTATTGATATTGCCAGACCCCACATGCGCTTGTCCAGAGTTTGAACTGGGGTAAACCCCCCCAACAAACACTTTGAGGGTCAATGCTTTTTGGGGCACTACTGTATACTGTTGCCAAACCCCACATTTCCCGGCCTTTTTTTCCAATGATTCCAGCATTGCTGTGACTTTCGCAATGGGATTTCGACGCGATGCGAAGGAAACCTCCCAGGGTTTCCCTAGCACGATGCAATGAGTTGGGGATAAGCATTTCAATGTGTTGATGTGAGGGAAAATCGGAGAAAACTTGAGAAAACTATTGTGTTTTCCCTTCATCCAATTGTGGGAAAAGGTGGTTTTCCCTCACCCATGATGGCTGTGGGGGACCACCAAAATAAACACCAAGACATGGTCTATGCTGAAACCATCATCAAACTCTATAAATTCTATAATCATAATTTGGATTTCATAAGGTTACATCAGATTACCGTAAATGTGCAAGTGCGTTGTTTCAGAATTCAAGAGGGACAACCATTTTTTTCGAATCAGGTGTCCAAAATGATTCAATTGATTTCTTTTAACAAAAACACCAACATAGTTGTATACAGTATACACCCACATGCCGCAGCACCATGTGCCTCCTGTTGCACTTTCACGGCATCAATATTCAATGAACCTGCACCACGGATTCACATGGCGATGGTGGTGGCCACGCATCCGTACATGTAATCTGAATGTTCATCAAACCTTTCCTTTCACACCAATTACCACTGTCCTAACCGGAATGCAGGACCAAATATCGCGGAAACACAAAAAATCCAAAACAATAATGTTTGCACCCCCGTCACAACCTCGAGTAATTTTGGACATGAATGCCTGTAGCTGAAGCGCAAACATGTTGCATCCAACAAATGATCTTCACTCAATCTACTTCTGCACAACACTGTGAGGTCGTTGCAATTTGCCAGTCCAGGTTCCATCAGACGAACCATAAATAATTAATTATATAACGCGCCCTCACCAGTTGATCCGCCAGACTGAAAGTTTCGCCACCTAGCACCAGCAGAAGGGCCCATGACAGAGCAGGAAAACCACACCTGCATTTCCCAATCGCAGCATGAAAATGTTCAAACAACATACCGCCGGGTCACAAAAACAATAACATGAAATGCGATTGAACAAATCACCATTGACAATGCAACAAATCTGCATAATTTAATTCTATTTAGTTCCCGCACGCTGTTGATGCAGGACGCTCCGAATGGCCATGCCGCCTTCCCTCCCCACCTTGTCATGGTCACTGCATCCGCACAACGCAAAACGCGTCGCGCAGTGCGAACTGCAATAAGCGGGCTTCGAACCAAAAATAAGGTCAAAAACAACATCCATTTGGATGGTAAACGGTATGTGACCCTTGTCGCATTTTTGAAAAGATCATGGTGATGATCATGGTGGTGGTGATGGTGGTGGTGATGGTGATGATGATGATGATGCTGATGATGCTGATGATGCTGATGATGCTGATGATGCTGATGATGCTGATGATGCTGCTGCTGATGATGATGACGATGATGACGATGATGAAGGGGAGGAGGAGGAGGAGGAGGCATCCCGCTGGCATTCCGCAGGTTCCCATCAGGTCAAGATGACTTTCAGATGCTGCCATGCCATGCAATGCCATGCCAGGCCCCACCTTTTTCTAGCTCAGCCATTGGCCAGCTCAGCAACAAAACCAACCAAAAAAATCGCGGTTCTCACGGGGAGATGCGCATGATCCAACTTCTAAAACCCAAGATCAGAATGGTTCTTCGGAGGCATTCATTCATTCATTCCACACGCTGCTCGGGTTCGAGCTGAACGTTGCCCAGCTAAGACGGCTTGCGCCCATATCGAAAGAGGGAAAAATTTGAGCCCAAGGCTCTGTGAAGGTCATCACGGAGACTAAAATTAGGCTTCGACACAGACATATTGGATGTCTGATATCGACAAAAGACTTGAAAGTGAACTGCCAGCGCCAGCGGTCGGACAGGGTTTCCAATACTGATATGAAGTCAGACGGTTTTGTAACCCCATTCGGTGACATATTCGGTGACGGATTCGGTCAGTTGCAACATTTATGTGTTCTTGCGTGTGTGGAAAGGGGGTAACCTTCTTTGTGCGACAGTCGCCAGATTCAACATGTGTTGCTGATTAGCCATGTCCACAACTACAGTTGGATCAATTAATGCGTATGCATCTTGACACGTTTCTAACAGCCAGTGAGCCCGTGGTTTGCCTACACGTCTGGTGTGTTCTATCCTCGGAAAGAAAGTTCCTGTTTCAAAGAGGACTTCTCTCATGGGGTCTTGTGGCGATGAGCGAAAAAAATGTGTCCAAGCAAACGGATTTTATTCTGCTTCCATCTGGTTGGTAAACCAACATGTTTGTACCCAAAACGTGGACGCAGAAATCCGAAGATCGGAGAAGAGAACGCTGGGTACAAAAAAATGAAAGATATAAAGAAAACCGCGACGATTCCAGGGCAGAACGTCGCGAGAGAAAGGATAGTGCTCCGCCTTTGCGGAGAGATACCTTCTCGAAATGTTGGTGAGCAGAGATCTCGTTCCGCCAGCCGGGCCAGAAGCAGAGATCCAGCCACACGCACTCCACAGCCTCCGCCTGCGCCTGTGAGAGCGCCAGTAACACCACCAAAAACACCACCGGCACCACCAACAAGAATACGGTACAAGGCTGCACCAGCCTCAATCAACCCAACGCCAACATCAACTTCAAATGTTACACCACCAATCAAGGCACCGCCAGTTGCTCCTCCAGCACCGCCTGCTCGGTCTACAAGATCTCCTAGCAACGAACCAAATCTAAATCCGTCTAGGACAGTAGGAGCCAAAAGACGACCGTGGCGTCAGAGGTCGCTAACGCCAGATTCTAAAACCACACGCAAGCGACCGTATGACATTTCTCAACCGCCGGCGCCACCACCTCGCATGACGGGTTCGCAATGGCTAGATCAAGGCCATCAAGGTGCATCATCCAGTTCTTCAGGATACCGAGATTACGGTTACTCCTACAACCAACCATCATACTACAGAATGAATCCTAGGACAAGCAGTGTAGAATATGTTCCTGGATATATTGTTCCACGACAGACATGGATTCAAAAATACGATGGTTCCTGGCTGGATATGATTCCACAAACTCCAGGTCAATCGATCTTTTGCGACCAATCAGGAGAACTGAGAAGAAGAAATGAAATGAATTTCTATGGATATACCTTCTCGATGAGACTGTGAGCCCTTCCAATTTGCATATGTGCCGCATTTGCGGCCAGCCTGCCAGTAGTTTTTTGATTTTGTCAACGGACTCGTTTCACAGCAGATCACAAGCTGAGCGCTTCTTGTGAAAGACCGTAACATGTTACGACACGAAGAAAATGTGTGTCTGTTTGTTACTTATTTTGTTTTACGTGTCTACACAATGCTTTCATTCATGTTGACATGTACACTTAATACATTATGTTTCATGCGCCACTCCGCACGGCTCAAGATTACTGCAAGCCGCGCATAGAAAAGATTGCAGCTGCCACTTCCGTCACCGCAGGTGTTTAAGTAGATTCCAGGGCTTCCTCAGTACGGGGAAAGCTACCTCACCCCCCATCCCATCCCCCCTTTCGCATCCAGAACTCCAGGACTCCAGTAGGCTGGAGAAACATTTTGAAAGATTGTGGAGATTGTGTCTTGTTGGCGTGGCTGCCTCTGAAAGTTTTGAATTGGCGCTTTAACTCCACAAGGTTTGAAAGGACCATGACCCCAATAATCAGTAACAAACATGGCAGAAAAGGTTCTTTAATGACATGGCAGAAAGCAGGCGCCTCCCCAAAAGTCGCAGCAAACAAATGCCCACGTGCAATTTTTCCCTGAAAAGGTCTGGTAACGACATGGCAGAAAGCAGGTGCCTCCCAAACAAGTCACGGCAAAAAAATACCTAAGCGCAACTGGTTCCTCAAAGGTCTAGTAATGACATGATAGAAGGCAGGTGCCTCTCAAACAAGTCACAAGTCAAAGCAAACAAATGCCCAAGTGCATTTTTCCCAAAAAGGTTCTTTAATCACATGGCAGAAAGCAGGTGCCTCCCAAACAAGTCCCAGCAAACAAATGCCTAGGGGCAATTTTTTTACTGAAACCCAAACAAGTCACGGCAAACAAATGCCCAAGTGCAATTTTTTCCTCAAAAGCTCTTGTAATGACATGGCAGAAAGCAGATGCCTCCCAAACAAATCCTAAAAATCAACATTTTACCATAGTTTTTTTGACATGAGGGATAACATGGTTTTTGGGGCCTGACCCTGGGGGAAGGCTTATTGGCCAAATGAAAATCATAAAAGTGGTGATGCCCATAAGGTTTTCTTGCCTTGTTTTTGACTTTTCGACATACAATCCAGCGCTTCGCATCAATCATCATTTTCATGTCATACGCTTCGGGGGATGCCATTTGTAACGATTTCACGTGAGTGAAAATCTTACGCACACATGAGGCCGTTGTAGAGGAAAGATACCTGCTCTGGGGAAATTGCCTGGGTTGCACTGGAACTTGTCGGCCGCCTGCATGAAGATGCACAGTTTGATGTCTTTGATCACCACCTCCATGTTGACCAGTTTTCACCACCTGCTGGACCATGCGATTTGGACACCCACGGCTCCAATGCCCATACTCCACGCAAATTTGGCATTGTCGGGAATCTATTTTGGTTTTGTATTTCGCAATTCGTGCCAAAAGTTTTGCGTTTTGATTTTGGTTTGCACGTCTGTTTCCCTTTGCCTTTGCCTTTGTTGCTACGATCTCCCTTGCCGCGTCCCCGTCCACGACCAAAAGCATTGCCAGCGCCATAAGTTCCATAGTTCCACCAGTTTTTGCCTTTGTCTTTGTTCTTGCCTTTGTGTTTGCCTTTCGCTTTGTTCTCGGCTCTATCAACCTCCATCGGCTGGGGACCTTGGTCAGTTGCCGTAAAGCCCTGCAATAACTTCAGCAGTTTGAGGTGCGAATAGGTTGTTTGTTCATTGATGGTAAGGTGCAGATATTCTCGAAGTTTTTGACCACTGCACTTCCAAAGGGTTGCTATCCTCACTTCTGATGGATATGCAGCGGAGGATGCCTCTTCAAACTGCCGCACCAGCTGTTCGCGGGACAGCATCTGCTCCAACACTGATTTGGATCCAGCGAGAACGGGATAATTGCTCAGCGTTTGGGCAATTGCAAGGTTTCCCTGCCTTGAGTTCGAATCGAATTTTGGGAACAAAAATTTCCACTACGAATGAGTCAACCTGCACAGACAAAAATGTCCATTCAGTTGTGCAAATCTTAGCGTTGACGTTTTCAAAACCCACATTCCACATGAACCCATGTATTTGCTTCAAACGGGTGAAAGGTGAAAAAATGATAGGTAAAAAACACAAATCCGTATTTTTTCCATGTTTTTTTCATACGGCGGCGTCCTGATTGGGTTTTCTCTTGACGCATAGGCCCTCGCATAGGCGCGGCGAAAAAAATAAAGTCAAGGAGTTGGTTTATACGGAGGTCAGGTTTCTCAACCAAATTATGTGTTCCAAATGTCCCTGTCCGGATGTCATCTGGAACCTGCTTTAAATTGTGTTTTGTGTTGGTTTAGTCACACGAAAATTAAGCGCCATGGTTGTGACACAAAACACAGCCTTGATGCCGAAATGTTTCGACCCTTGCCTTTGCATATTTTCATCGGGATGTGTCGCTAAACATGTTTTTTTACTCTTCGACGCGCCGTTTTCGTGTTTTCTTATGAAGACAATTGTATCCTCCACCGCTGGCCCATTGATCTGAAACAAATTGCTGAAATTGATGTCGCATCCACTGCATGTGCGACAACGCATCGATGATCAACCTTGCTTACCGAACGCGCATGCAATTTCATGTCCGATTTAATGCCCATTCAACTTCATCCATGAGGTATCATCAAATGCGCATGGTTTGTTGTTGCCCATCCAACGACCCCAACCCACGCATGACGTCAAAGCAAAAGTGTGGTGCCACCTACTGTGAGATTTATGTGCGCTGGTATTTTGGAGCCAACGTTTGGGCACATGATGCCATGCCCCGTTTTGACACCAGTGTATTCCCCCAGGCTCATCCCCAGCATTCCAATGCAGGTTGCTGCTATGTTCGGCGGTGTTTTGCGCGCCATTTCGTAAAAGCTACGGTGGGTGCGACCTTGCCCGCCGCTGGGCGCTGCATATCTGGAAGTGCATTGGAAAAACACCAAGCACAAGTTTAACCGCCCACTTTTCAAAAAGGGATCATATGTTTGTGCGGTGGAATCCTGCGTCGTTTGTGCCGTGATCAGCCCCTTTTCTCTGAATAGAGGTGCTGTGATTTGAGTTCATAACACAGTGTTCGTATTCATTCCTATTCGATGGACACGAAAACATGTGTGACCCTAATTTGGACCGCTTAACCAAAGAAAAAAACAACCATATACGGACACACACACACACCCACCCACCACGGACGCACGCACGCACAGGCACGTGTACCCACCCACCTAACTACTTACCAACCAACCAACCAACCAACCAACCTACCAACCAACCGACCAACCTACCGACCTACCAACCAACTGACCGACCTACCTACCTACCGACGTGCCTTCTCGCATACACCCATATATGCATCCATGCATGCATCCACATAAATTTAAAAATAAATGAATATAATACATGTTTTTTTTTGGAAGTGAAAAAAGGTGGTTTCAAGGATTTTTTCGAAATAAGGTTCTTTTTGAAAAAAGAACGCATATATGCATTTTTCGATAATCGTGTTACTTTTTGTTCCAATTTTCACTTCTACCGATTTTTTGTTTGGTTTTCCAGCCGGACGAAAACAATAAACAAGGAAATTCTGGCAAGACCCAGTTTATTACCTTGCAAACGACTAGTGTCCTCCAATGCGTGATGTTTGCTGGAGGGGCTGCATAATCAATATTGTTGGCTGGTGTTTGTATTTGCTTGGGATACGTTGACTATGTTCATTCACGTGTTTGACCCGACAAGGGTTTGGCGTTAGGATTTTTTTCATGCATGTTGGACATTCACGATTTTGTTTCAATATAAGCAACAATTATGCTGCAGGAGTGTGAGCGTTGTACCGGTCACGCGCCCATTCCAAAAGTAACTACGCAGTATTGTTCATTTGCAACCTAACAGCATTTTTTCCACAACAAGTATTTTTCCTGACCGGACGCGATTGCTACAATTCATGTTTCCAAATGTTGTATCCGTCGCTTTCGACAGTGACACAAGGCGCGTTTTGCAGAACTCATCCAAATAGATTTGCATGGAGTCTGTTGGTATAGCGTGTTTTCACACGGACGTAAGGGGCTGATGTCAAAAATTTAGGACAGGGCTACCCCACGCAACCTGGGTGGCAACAGCAAACTAAGGTACAGCACCCGCTCGGTTTCAACTGCGCATCGGGAAGTGCAGGACGCACCCGGCCTCTCCAGCCAAGCACTCTTAGAACCCCAGTCCGGCCCACAGGTCCAGCCGCCCCGACACTACCATTCCATTTTTTTTTGGGGGGACCACCGCGCTGCGTTCCCACAAGCGGGACTTTTTTGTCCAGGACGAAAATCGCACGTCGTAACCAGAACGATGGGTTGCAGAAAAAGAAAAAAAACGGCAAACCGAGAAAACGACCAAGAAACATTCTTGGCCGGGGCATTCCCATCGAACGAGTTGCGGCCGCAAATAAACCTGGGCACGTGTCACAGGTAACACAAAGGTAGCAGAGTTCAACCTGCAACACGTCCATCGCCACAATGTCCGACAGATTGAAGTCATAGCGAACGGTTTCGCTGTTTTGGCTATCGGCACCGCGCCGGTTTCCCTCGCGAAACCTAGAGCCCGCCAAACACCAGTAATCGTCCACAAATCCATTGAGCAACCCACATATCCCGCAGGTCTGGCCATGCTCAGCCACACGGCAATGCAAACATTTGCCGCTACCCTCTTCCACTTTCTTCCACTTTCTTCCACCTTCTTCCATCTTCCTCCACCCTCTTCCACCACGAAATATCTTTTCGCCACAACATTGATAGCAACACCGTCCTCAGCCGAATACCTGCACAAAGTCCGCAGCACCCCCTTACACATACCTGCCTGCTTTCCACCCAAACCAGCTCGCGTTGGACTTGAAACACACGTCTGGCAATCGGCAAGTGCAAAAACTGTCTGCCAACAGTCCCGGCCCGAAAGCAGGCACATGCGAACCAAAAAAAGTGCTCCGCAATATTATCCCGACACTTGCCCCAGCTGAAACACGCCATCCCGGGATCCCAGTCATTCACACCCATCCCATACTGCGAAGACACGGCCGTAAACGCCGCTCTGTTTTGTGCCAAAAGAGGTCTCAACGAATCCACTTGATCATGCTATTCATGACAAGTATATGTGAAAATGACAAACGCAACACTCATCTCGATTTGTGCTGTCATCCTTGCGTATATGCTGGCACATGACTACGACGTACAACTTTCCGCACTCCTCCTTTGCAAACTGAGCACGGCTTGTTTTGCAATCCAAAGTTGTAATCATCTTTGAAGCGCGTCTTCCAGAATTTTTCTCTGTCATTGCATCTCCAGTGCAAATTCTTCTGAATTCATCTCATCAATCGTTCCATGTTTTCAACGTACAGCCTGAATCGATCTCGGCGTTCATCTTGGCCACGATTGCGGGGGGGTGTATGAAGTCTCTGAAAGACATTTCTGATCCCATTGGTAATACGCATGCCCATACCTTCAGGCTCTGGTCCAGCTGTTGCGTCCAAAACCAAGACTATTGCCTGCTGAATCTCGTTGGCCACATACCATCGTTCAGCTGCCAACGCAATGTTCTGGTCTTTGCGCATGTGCTGCAGCAACTTTTCCAAACCAGATTGCCCACCATTCTCATCGGCTTCTGCATCTGAAGTCGGACTTTCCTCTTCAGCTTATTCAAAGTCATTTGCGGTCTCCTCAATTGGGTCTGTGTTCTCTGTGCGATTTCTCACGTTCCAGATTAGGTTTCCTCTTTCTTGCGTCATCATTTGACGAACTTGATCTGAAGTAAAGTTTGCATGCCTCACAAATCCAACAAGCTCCATCAAGCCATATCTCACACAGCTGGTAGACTGCTCAATGGCGTTGTAGTCTTCCAACATCTCTTGCTCAAATGCAGCTTGACGGGCTGCAAGTATATCATGATTCTCTTCCACCGTGCTTTTGGCGCGAGCCAAACTCAAAAACCAAAAGGGGATGCACAACATATCCCAAACATGAAAAGGTCCATTGACATCGGGCCATAACACATTATGGGCGTACAGGGAATATATAGTTTGGGTTAAACATCATTATATATGTCGAACATATATATCATGGGTGCGTTCAGATACAATCACGACCAAACCCTAAAACCAAAAACATCACAATAAAATAAAAACACACTGCAAACATGATATCACCGTGACAAACGCTGTCTGGAATTGGAAGCCCTTCTTTTCACGTGGGGTGCAAAACGAATCATGCATCGCGCATGTCCAATGAGGTGCCACATGCACCATAAATCTGAAAAACTTCGCATCC